CTACACTATAGACTACACTACACTATACACTACACTATACACTACTACACTATACACTACGCTACTATACACTACACTATACACTACACTATACACTAGTATACACCACACTATACACTACTACACTACACTATACACGACACTACTATACACTACACTATACACGACTATACACTACACTATACACGACTATACACTACACTATACACGACACTACTATACACCACACTATACACTACACTATACACTACACTACTATACACTACACTATACACTACACTACTATACACAGACTCTAGCTCATCCTGGGGACTTCGCAGTAGCCGTCATGAAATGTGCCAAAAAAAAAGATGTACACGCTGCAGCTTGCTAATGTTGTTTTTGCCAGACGTCCCGTAGAGTCGCGAGTTGCAAGAATCGAGCCTTGGCGATACTACGCTACGCGCCACCATGCTGGCTATGCCACGACTCAATAGTGGTCAAATGTGTCGCATAGCCCTGAAGTGAAAACTGTAGGACCTGTGTCCCTTTAAAAAGCTTCATAACCATCCAAGTTGAATTGAGAGCAGTGATACACGATTATCAGTGTGGCCAATTATAGTGATAGGTGAGAGACTGTTCCCTTGTATTGGCATAGCGTTTGTTTTTGTTATGCATGTTGAGTAATGGGGGGGGGGGGGGGGGGGTGGTATACGTTGGCTGATTTGAGTGGACAGAACCAAAACACATCGGCATATGCCAAGTGGTAATTGCCCGAGCTCAAAATATGTTTTTTTGTGCTACCGTGGGCGGTTCTCACATTTGCACATTGTTAATCTTTAATATGAGAACGGCTTGTTGATGCTTGTATTAAAATATGTCAAAACAAGGCCATTTCAGGATAGCACGTGGGACCCTGGGGGGTCTGAAACCTGCGGCTCCGGAGCCGCTCGCGGTGACTCTTCAAGGGCCACTTCGTGACGGTTACGCCGCGCCGTAGTCACCACCACGTGGCACTGCGCCTCTTGAAATATTGACTTGTTTTTACCGACTTCGAAAATAAAATAGCTCTTCTTGTTATGTTTAACTGTCGACCCCTGCACGAGGCTAATGAGACCACCCCCGCGCCGTTTCAGTTGTACTCGTGTCCCTTCAAAGTCAAGCTTTTGAAGGGCGTTAGTGCTCAACGCACGTTCTTGTCGATGGAAATTTAACATCGCGATGGCAGGGTTGGCAATAGTCCAAATAATGCAAAGTATAGACATGGAATTCAATATAGTCCGTGTCGATCGTGGGGGTTGTCTGACCGTACATCGCCACGCTGGTCAGTGTGACGAAGGTGGGACGGGGGGGGCAGTTGAGTCCAGAACCACTTCAATTATCGTTCACCACTCGTCTTTTGGCTGAAAATCAAAACTCAGGGCACTGGATTTAAAGCGCAATGCTCTCACGGCCACAACACCGCTCCACTGTTAATTGAATTGTGAAGGTCAGGCTAAGGCTGCAGGAGCGGAGAGTACTCTAGAAAGAGAGGAATCGGAGAGGATACCCAGAGGCAGGCGACTAACGGGGAAGACCCGAAGCCAAATGTAGCGCATTGCAGGAGTAGAGGTCTGAGGTTGGCCGTCAACTCTGCAGCAATGGCAAGATCTGGGTGAAGGAAGCGATGGTCTTGGTGCGACACATACTGTTGGCAACGTTGTTATTCTTCAGAAGTGGTTTTGGCCTGCTCGTTGACCACATGTCCCGAAGCTGGTGAAAATGGTCCCACATTCTCAGCCAGTCAATTAAGTGCACACCGATTAACAGGCTGATGCCTCGTCAGGCCACGGAACACAGGCTGCGAAGAGGGCCCATTCCTTGGGCTCTCCCTCCGACATCTGCACCAGCCTGCTGCGCCACGATGACTTGACAGTTTCATGATCCCCTGAGACCTCACGTGGTGAACGGACTGGCTTCATGTTCACTGGCACTCATCACCATGTCACTGTTAACGAAGTTAGTGCGTCTCACAATTGAATTCCCTCGGCTGAGATTTTTTGTAACCAAATACCGTGCATGGCACAGGACTTTCACGGTAACAATATAAAAGCGCAGCGAGGCTGTATAAACAGCCTCGCCTCATGAGAACTGGGTACAAAATGCCATTTTAAACGTAATATTAAAATCAGGTGGTCGGGTGGATTAAGGGTCAGAGCCGGCACTACCTGAGAGCCTGGGTTCAGATCCGGGCAACGGTGCGCGGTTTAAACCGGTTTCTGAAATGTAGCGAGCTGATGGGTCTCGGGCTGGTCATTAATAAACACACACACACACACACAAAAAATCGTATAAAAATTTGTTTCGTACTTTAACTTGGCTTAACTCCAGCTCTTGAGAACGTTAAGTAAAATAAATATGATTGGCATGCCCGTCGCGCGAAAACCTCGGAGCAGTTCGTGTGGTAAGGTGCCAATCCCCCCCCCTCGTCATTAAGAAAAAAAGATAAAAAGTCCACTTGAAATTTCGGTGAATATTTCACCGGCCGTCCGCCGCCAGATGGGGGAACACTCCCTGGTCTTGTGCGACGTTCAGAGGACATTGGGAACAATCCGGGAGAAATAAGACCGAAACTTGTTTGACACAAATGGATGCGGATTTATGCTGTGATGTTTGCCATGAGAGGGATCACAATTGGCGCTCGTTTCTCGTGCAGCACTGGGGTTTTAGTTGGCAGCTGCAGTTAAGTGTTCGGTCGAGTTATGGTCAGATGTAGGTATAGCGCCAGGGTTAGTGTTATTTACGTTTAAATTGCTCGGATAATGATAATTTACATTTATAAGGCACAATTCATCTCGGGATCTCAGTGCACCATGCATGAAGGACATCTACATACTACTGAGTTAAGGTTGGTCGAGCACTTTTAGTGTGCCCATCGCTGCAATATTTTTTCCGAGCGAAACTCGAGCACAGTACAGGGCTGTAATTTCTTTTTTTTTGTTTACACGGAGTGGCATCGTATTCTTGTGGTGACGCGAATGACGTGGGCGCGTGAACTAAGCTGAACTCGCACGTGACACACACGTCCAGTGTCTCAACCGCAAGCTTCACAAGTGCAAGTGTTGTATGGCAGCGTGGTAGGTATGAGACTCGATGGGCTTGGACGTCTGTTGCCAGTTAAGACATCGGCACAAAGAACATCAAAATCACATGTGCCGAATGTGTCTGCAGTGCCAGTGCAATGGTTTTAGTCCAGCGATGAGTGGCAGCCAAGCCTCATTAAATCTGTCTCGAATTTCCGAATGTCCCGCTCCTCTTAGCCTGCTCGCAAATACCAGCGACTGCTGTTTGAATTTGTACACTTTCTTACAATACCGTGTCGAATTACGAAGTCATCTATGGCCAAATCACCCTAAATATGCCCAGTCTTCAATCCCATCCACACACGCCGACTTCAAAACAACTCGCAACAGCTGTGGAAAGTCAATGGTTGTTCTATTTGACCACAGTTGCTATCAAAGGTAAAGGCGCGGGCCCTGCAACTGCTCGCTCACGGCACTGCTGGCAGAAGGGTTTCCCCACAAGAGACCTCTGGAGGGCAACTCGACAGGATATTTTGCCCTTCTCTTCCACAATGGCCACACGTCTTGTGAGACGTGAGAGTACACTCACTTTACCATACGTCTTGGGAGACGTGGGAGTACTCACTTTACCACACGTCTTGGGAGACGTGAAAGTACATTCACTTTACCACGCGTCTTGGGAGACGTGGGAGTACACTCACTTTACCACACGTCTTGGGAGACGTGGGAGTACACTCACTTTACCACACGTCTTGGGAGACGTGGGAGTACACTCACTTTACCACACGTCTTGGGAGACGTGGGAGTACACTCACTTTACCACACGTCTTGGGAGACGTGGGAGTACACTCACTTTACCACGTCTTGGGAGACGTGGGAGTACACTCACTTTACCACACGTCTTGGGAGACGTGGGAGTACACTCACTTTACCACACCAGACGCAACCTGCCGATGTACTGCTTGAGTGGACAGAGGCGGAATTTTGATCACCTGTGTCGCCAACGAATCGGAGCACTGCCCAACACGGGTTTAAGCATATGGACACGGACATGCGATATATAAAACTTACCAGCGCTTCTACGTTCAAAGCAAATGTGGTAGAGCAGACCAAGGTTCAGTCCCATTTTAGCCGTGTTACAGCCACACACAAATCCAACGGAGGAGCATGAAGGAGCACGCCGCAGTGGCGATATGTTAACCACCTCGCCTGGTTGACCTGTGCTTGTGGGCTCAATGCGACCCTGACGATGCCTGCTGCTGCTCTATATTTGGAGTGCGCGGTGTCTTTCTCCCCGTGGTCGCATTCACTTTTCTCCGGGTCCTCCGGGTTTTCCCTCCACATTTAGAAACGCGTTTTGGAGTAGTTGGTTGCTACGAATTTCCACGCAGTAAGCCACTTTACTGAGCTATCACTTGTGGCCAGGCAATTTCGGAAAAATAACTATATAGCTCAGTGGGCCTTAGTAAAATAACAAGTTTAGTTGAGAGTAGGCTAGCTTCACCAAATCGGCAAGGTCACCACCCATCCCGTTTGCACGCAGTTCAATGCTGTTAACATATAACCAAAGTCCTCACTGGATGTCGAGACGTCCTTATCGGTTTAAATGTCGAGTTATATCTTTAGTGGAAATGGGCAAGTCTCTTCAATTTCCAACCTCCCGTCCAGTGAGCAGTCCAAATGTGAACACCAGTCGATGAGTAGGTCACGTGTGGTGGGGTCAAATGCTGGTCCTTCGCACCACTTCCGAGACGTCTGGCCAGTGTGGAAGAGTAGGCCAAATACCCTCCTCCAGGGGGGTGCTCTCGAGCTTCCACTCGTGGAGGCTAGTGGCGCACGCCAGACATTGCAGGGCTGCACCTTTAATGATTACTTCGCTCTGGTTTTCCCCCCGTCTTTTTGCAAGTCAATTTCAAGTAAACTAAAAAGTAAACGAAAAAAAAACCCAAATGAAACGCATTCAACTTGCGATATTTTATTACAACTTTTCATACGCTTTTCACAGGCTACATGCACACTGGAGCCTTGCAGGTTTTCCAAAATTTACAAAACGGCTACATTCAAATGTTGGCATAGGACCCGTTTCCGAATCCTTGCGGAGCAAACTGCGCAGGGTTTTTGCGGCGGATGCGCTGCTGCTGCTGCGCGACTCTTCCGGCGCGTTTTCAGGCGGTACCCGCGACGCTGATGCAGCACCTCCGATTCGCACGGCTGGCTACGCACGGCTCGGAAGAAGTTCAGCACAACATACAGACCAGCTCCCAGGACGTGGAGCGAAAACGTCAGACATTGTGCCGAACAGCAAGCGGCAACACCCTGGAAAAAAACAAAACACGTTGGAGACTAAGGTTTTGTTTGGACGACTAATCTGTGACTGGCCATGCCGACTGCAATTATTGTATTTCGAATTTCACAAATGATTGTGATTTCTGCACAATGGTGGAATAATCATCAGTTAGACAGTCAAAGAAAGCAGAGGCTCACGTCATTGGGGAATGTAGAAGAGACGGCGTGAAACTAATCCTGGTCATCTCCGACCCATCTCTCATCACGTACGCTCGAAAAATGCTCCTTCGATATTGTGAACGGAGCACAGTCATTTCCTGTCCATCTGCCAAAGTACATTACGCCATCAGAGCTGGCACAAGATTACTGTGTCGAAATAGTGACCACTATCAAACCCTGCCACACGCAAAAACCCGGTTTAATTTGCATTCCCAACTCGGGGTCAAACTCATGACCTCAGCGTCCTGATCATGGTGCCTTTCAAACACCCAAAGTGACTCGGGCATCTTTGAAGATTCACTTCCAAAAATGTGCCGATGTGAATTTCCGCAATGCCCACCACTTGCAAAATGGCCCTTTTATAAGCAGCGTCAATTGTAACCACCGCTCTGGTGTGCACGTAGTATCATTACAAAATAAAATAAACATGACCAGACGTTGTTTTCCAGCAAACAGATTAACGTAATTGATGTTGTGGTTTAGAATCAATCATTCAAATAATCGTAGTAATGAACACAGCTTATTTTATGCATACTTGCTTTGCGAGTCACTGTACAGAAATAACCCATTCACCTACACAACGGCCACGGTGCTTGCAGCGCACATCTCTCGCTGGAGACGGTGCTTCAAGGAGTATCATTTACGCTTTAGGCTGCGGGGTGCTCAAGAGCCTAAACCCACGACGTCGCAAAGCCGCGTCAAAAAAAAACAATCTTGCAGTGAAAAGCACACGGGGGAGAACACCATTTCTTTGTCATGAAAACACTCAGGGATGCCCGCAGGCTCCGGGGGGTCTGCAGGTGAAAGGGTTACCCACGGCAAGCAGACACAGCTCATCGGCGGACAAATTATTACATCACAATCTTGCGTATGATGCGAATTTGGCAGTCGATAAAACACAATTTCTTCGGTTCACATTCGTAAAATAATTTCTTTACTGCAACTGCCTTTCCTCCCACAATTATGCTCCCGACCACCCACTTCATCCTCTTCCCTTTCATCACCATCCATACCCCCCCCACCCACCCACCCACCACCAAGCCTCTCAATAAGCGATGGTATTAGCAATCACTCAGCTCATCTCGGATGGCTTTTATTTACTCGGCCACATCTCTTTATGATTGACCTCAAACGTTTCGCTTGTTTTTCAGTTGTTAATGAGCAACGCATACGACCACCACCTAGATACAAAACGTGATTCTCATTTCTGGATTGCGTTACAGACAGCCGGGCCAGGGCCGGCCTCTTTGTGTTAAGACGAGGCGCCACAGGCCACCAAGCGAAATCGTTCCGACGGACCTACGTCACCAGGATGTCGAGACTGTGGCTCTTTTCAGATGAACGAGTAGTTCACTGTGCGCGTCCTCGATTTTGACCGAAGCCCCCTCAAGAGTTGAGCTCGACCGAATTGCGAGCAAATCCAAAAACGTATGCGACGGTATCTTCTTGTATGTAATCTCACAGGTGACCAGGCAAATATGACACAACGTGAGAACGTGTTTTTTAATCTCGGCTGGAAAGCTTTGTACTTCATCAACCCAGTGGTGTTGGTTCAGTGCTCCTGAACACGGCCGTTGGCATTTAGCTCTCCTCTCACTCCACAAAACCACCCGGTTGACCCCCCGCCCCCCCACGTGATTTTAAAGGGCAAAGATTTTAAAGGGCAAAGAGCGAATCTTCCATCTTGTCCATCTTCTTTTTGCCTTGGACGGACGAGCGAGCTGGCCCTTCGCTCGGCGGGGGCATCGGGAGGTCAGGCAGCTTCTCTGCAACGTTAGCTCTTGAAGCCAGAAACGAGTCGAACGCTGACGGGAGGGAAACAAGGAGACGGAGGGGAGAATTATTCAAGAACGCAGATTCCTCCATGGGGTGGTTACAAATTCATATTAGAAGGCTACATCCAAAGTAACCTCGCCCGAGACTTACATTTTATTCAAAGTGCCGTGGGGTAAGTTTTATATCCTGTGGGAAAGTCTGGCCTGGTGCGACGGAGAAATTGTGGATAACAATACGGCGCTATCGAGCAGGCATCAGCAGGATATGGGGAATAAGAAAAAAAAAAAGCACGATTGAAATTTAAAACCGTTAACAATAAATTCCAGCGCGCGTTTGACACATCTTGCCCACATTGGACATCTGACCGACACCGCGTATAATGGGGGAACAACAGCAGAATCCAAAATCAACCAGCACGTGCAAATAACAGATCTGTGGGATGCGTTGGGGAGGGGTTGAAGGTTAAAGCACATGCAAATATCATTGGGCATTTAACTCGATTGCTCCCAAATGTTCCAGCTGTGACGGGCTGTGACGAGCAGAGAGGCTTGGTTTTATTAAGTGCCCTCTCACATGCATGCCCCTCCATGTGGAACGTGGGTGTGCCATCCAGGGAAACTAGCCGAACTATTAACTATTTTTATTTTACCAGCTTAAGGCCCACTGAGCTGCATGGCTCTTTTTCAGAAGCGACTTGACCACAAATGATAACTCAGTGAAGTGGCTTATCGCGTGGATATTTAAGCAGCCAAATACTCTAAACGCACGTTGATTCTAAATGTGGAGGACCCGGAGAAAAATCCACGCAACTACGAAGAGAACGCGCAAACTCCAAATACACAGGCGTCAGGGTCAGGATGGAACCCACGACCTCCTGCATACCTAGCGAGGGAATTAACACCGCGGCGGGAAGGCAACACTGCGAGCATGTGTCACACGAGGTAATTTGATGAAACGCAGGACGCTGAATAATAAGCAATCTCAAGGCGGCCTCTTCTCGGTTAAAACAAAACGGCAAGTGATGGATGAAACCCAATGGGCACTCAAGTTGCGAGAAGCAACCATTTGACTGAATAAAATGTAACTCTCAAAAAATGGGCTCTCACTTGGCTTGATCATAAATTCACTGCAACTGATGACCAATAACACAACGGGCTTGAAGAATAAAAAGTCAGCAAAATAATTGGAGAGACGAGGTTCTGAATTGTATCAGGTACAAAATCTTCGCAGCGCCTTTTTGGCTAACCATCCAACAAAGACGGTCTCTCACTGCATCGCACGCTTCCAGAAGAGCTTATGCGGCCGTCTGGAACGCTCTTCCTTGCGATATTAGGAAGCCACTGGAGCTATGCACTTTCAAATAATCTAAATTGAAAAATAATGTATTTAGAACTGCGTTTAGTGTTTAGATTGTTGTCCTTCCCCCGCACCTCATATTAAGTACGGTTGGCTATGTATGGTGCAAAAAAAGTTCAACATAGATACAACCCAATGCTGTGAGATGCCACACGAGATGAGCGATGATGTGAACTACCTTCAGTCGTCCCAGAAGTGGCCACTTCTGCCGTCTCATCTCCTTTCCCCTGAAAAATACAATCAATAAATTTCAATAAAAACTAACAAGACAAATATCACCTGTATAGCTGTTAGCGAGCACCGATTAAGGCCGGCACGGCACACAAGGGGGTGGATGGCCAGCACCACGCCCAACCACCTTCGTCTGCCCACTGGCGATGTTTAAACACTGCACCAGGTACTTCTGAGGGTCAGTCGATCTAGGGCAGGCTCAGGACCGGTTCAGATAATTGTCACTGGTGTTGGCCTCGAGTGGGAATTGAACTTGCGTCACCGGATTTGCAGCGCAGTGCCCTAACTGCTGCACCACCGCACCCCACTCACAGGCACTCGCACAGCATGTGTAGATTCATACAGGGTTACATAGAACAATCTATTCATTATATCAACACAGTTACAGCATCTCACATTTCAATTATTATTATTTGCAATAGCCAGAGAACTGTGATCCGTTCCATGTCTATTAGCGGAAGGACACATGTTGGAGAATGTGCGATTCTGGATAGTCTCCAGAAGTTAATCAGTGTGTTCATTCATTCATATGAAAATGTAGACTAGCAGTGGTGCGAATCTGTAGAAACTGCATGAATGTGAATGCAGCAACCCGCAACTAATGTTAGAGGGCTTTAAATGAGTTTAGACGCTCTGCTCACGTGACAAAAAGAAACACATTATTCCCGTTAAATGTGAACGGTGAGAAAAGATAAATAATTCCAACACACGGTTTACTTTTTGAGTTTCCCCAACAGCATGCGTTTCGAATTAAGTGAAGATGTTCAACTCGTTGCAAAGGCTATTTCCTTATCGCACGTCAACGCATGCATTTTCTGACACATTCGATGGGCCGGTAAGCGGAACTACTTTCGGCGTGATTTTACAGGCGAAATCAAACTACAATCCCAGTTGTTGTTGTAATATCAGCAAATAATAAGCCAAAAATAAGCTCTGCCATGAAAAAAAAAGCGACACGAGTAATCTTTATGGTGCACAGTTAGTTACAAATTGAGCACACATGGGATTTTCCATCAGTCGGGAACATCACTGCAAGATGTACAATGCGCGGGTCATGTGCCCACAGAACTGTCCGTGGCGTGGAAACGAATTAAGGACAGAAAGCAGTGAACGCTGCGGATCCACTGACAAGAGGAAAGTTTGGGAAGCTCTCATTGAAACAAAAACACAACGTGTGCATTAAAACTTGTAAAGCATGATTCTGGTGTTGACAGTTAAACGTTGAACTGTTATTAGAATTTGAAACCGGCTATGGTAACAACACTGCTCTCCTCTCACAATGTGGGATGAGAGAAGTTGGATCTTACAAGGTTGGCAATTAAGGCAACTGATAAAATAGGAGGGCTGACCAATTAATCCACAGTCTAATATGAAAGTGGTACTGCTGCAACATCAAGTGAGAAAGTTCAGTGACATGATGCACGCGTTACTTTCACAGATGACAAAACGTCACCGGCGATGGTCTAATTCCGTCATTATTTACAGGTGTTTGAAATCATCTTGTTTTGTGTGTTAACTGAAAAACAGAGAAATCCGAGCTATGAGCGGCCATAAATTATCTTCGAAGGACATGACCCCACAAGAAACACAAACACTCAATTAATAAGAAGCCGTGTGTGTGTGTGCAGAATTTAAACGTGGAATATGTTGCACGGCAAACCTATCTCAATGCAGTTTATTATCTTATGAGGAAGCCACCGGGAAAGCTACGCGGTTTTTAATCTAGACTGAAAACTCATTGATCTGTAACTGCTTTTTTTGATTAGTTTGTTGTCCTTCCCCGCACGCCCGATTAGCGCGGTTGGCTACGTACGGTGTGAAAGAAGTTCAACGTACATACACGGAATACCCATCGTCTGACCAGATTTCTGAGACTGCTTGGTATTTTTGTTGTTGTTGTTGTAAATATGATTGCACACAGGCTGAAATGACCGGCAATGTGAGAGTTGAACAAAAGGCGTCTGCGGGATGGGGCGAATCAAGATGCTGACCATCGACCAGAGACGGCCAACAGACTCCTCTCGATTGGTACACACAAAATCTAGGACAGTTTGACACCACGTGAGGCTTTCGCTTACCAATATTATCCATAAGAGGTTTTTTTTTTGGTCGCTTAAATATAAATGTGATGTTAAAGCCGCCACCACCCGACACAGCACATGGCAATTCGTTACTAGTACAGCACAACGGTTGTGTGTTGGAGAGTAAATCCACAACGATCTGAGTACGACGTTTCGCCAGTAATTACAACCAGCATCATCAGGCGACAGCCAGATTGGTGGAGAAATCCTCCTCCTGTTTCGTTCTTAAATAGGGGGATAGATGTGATGTCGTCACTTGCGAGCCCCTCACGTGTGAAGGCCAGAAAAGGGGGGGGGCCGGGGTGGAATCTAACTGGATGTATGAGTGGTTAAAAACGTGGGTCCAATCTTTTTCCGTGGACCACTCGTGCAAGCACAGCGCGAGAGCGTCCAGTGTAATCCCCGCATATCACTCCCATCAACAATTGTTTCTTTAGCTAGAGAGAGCCCACTTCAGTTGAGACTTGAAACTGTTCACCGAATGATGGCTCACATTTTTTAAAAATATGCAAATGCTGGGCGGGAGAGGGGGGTCACATAATGAATGATGATTTGAAACAAGGGCGATGCGCTATCACGTGGCAGTATCATGCAGACCTAATCACAGCATTAAGCAACTCGAGCAAATAGGTGAAGGAAGTTAAATGTGTTCACCACATACACACCAATCGTGCTGTTCACAAGTTCTGAGTCTCAGTGGGCTGCCAGTCATGATTCCAGATTTCATTTGGGCAATCAACACCCCACAGACACCAAACCTGGCTCTCAAGTGACCTCCGTGCGTCAAAACTGACGACCATCGCTTGCGGGGAAAGAACATTTCTCGTGAAAATGAGGGGGTGTGTGCCATTGAACGAGTAATGCGAGGAGCAAAGTCCTTTCTAGATTTAAAGCTTTCGTGACTGCAAGGATCCATACTCTTTGGTTCTATTGGGTAAAGTCACGTAGGTAAAAAATAAAATAACAAAAATCACAACGTTTCGGCCACAACACAAGCGGCCTTCATAAGGTGAAGGGACCTGATGAAGGCCGCTTGTGTTGTGGCCGAAACGTCGTGATTTTTGTTATTTGATTTTTTACCTACGTGACTTTACCCAATAGAACCAAAGAGTATGAGCAAAGTCCTCCTTGTAGACGGGGATTAAAACTTTAAAGGATATTGACAGCACACTTCAGAGAGGCCTTCTTTAAATACAACACTTTTTTTCTCGGTCGCTCGTAATTTATTTCTGTCGTATTTTAAGGAATGTTTTATGTTCCCGAGGAAGCTACATGTGGGGGGGTAACCGTGACGTTCCAGGAGATAATGAATAAATTTAAAGCATGAGGCACAATTAGATACATTGCAATTGTTCGGGGTAGCGGTTACAAAAGGTTAGAGTTCACGTTGAGAGAATTGTTGATAACCAGCATGTGACTCAAAGCAAGAGAAAGGATCGTACAGATTAGGCGATTAGTCGTATTCAAGGAAATTTAAAAAAGACAAACAAAAACGAATAAACTAAAACTATAAAAACTATTTATATTTTACCAGGTAAGGCCCACTGAGCATATATAGCAGTTTTTCAGAAGCGACCTGGCCATCGCAAATGATAGCTCAACGAAGTGGCTTATCACGTGGACATTTTAAGCAGCCAAATGATCTCAACGCATCTCTCAAAATGTAGAGGGGAAAAACTGGTGAAAATCCACGCGACCACGGGGAGATATTCAAACTCCAAATATATACTGGCGTAAGGGTTGGGATCGAACCCACGACGACCTCCTTTCATACCAGGCGAGGTAGTCAACATCTTGCCACCGTGGCGAGTTGTATGCATGTCAAATATGGTAGCGGTGATGGCAGAGACAGACTACATTGAAACAAGGACTAAGCACGTCAAGGTGGCTTGGTGGCTCGACGAACAGGGAAGCAAGCACATATTTCCCAAATTCAAATGAATCCCCCAGAAGTAAAAGCTTTTTTTTTGTTGACTCGTGTCAACTTTTACTTGCAGAAACTTTACTCGGTGGTCCGTTCTCCGATGTGGATGCGAAGCGGGCCAATTACAAATACCCGCCAAAGCAAACTAGGAAAGAGAAATGTGTGTTTTTTAAGAAGGTTGTTCAAAGTTTTAATAGATAGACAAGTTGAGAGACATAAGTGTATTACATATAGAAGGTACACACTTAAAATTAATAAGAATAGTTAAAGGAGAGTTATATTTCTTGGAAATGCTAATGAGAAAACAACAGACCGAATGTGATGTTTTGACTGGGAAATTATAGGCACGGCTAATTAAGTCACGTGAGCTATTTGAACGATTGGACGGAACTGGGAGGAGTATCCAATGCAGAGTTCCTGAGTAAATATCATGGGCAGGGGTAGATGGAAGAAAGAAGGCCATGATCGCCGACGTCTCTGACAAAGGACAAGGCCTCTCTCTTCTCCAATCAGGGGCGGAGTCAGGGATTTGACTTTGGGGGGGCTGACTTGAATATTGTGTATGTGTTCCAATGGGCGCCACAAATGTATAAGAAGGCCATGGCGGACGTGCGGAGTTTATTAATAGGTCGGAGCCGCTGATGTGGCTAATAAGTTCGATAAGTTGGAAAGGCTGCAACTCAAGCAGCCTGCAGGGCAGCACAAGGTCGCAGCCTGCAGCATTTTGCAGCAGCCGGATATCCGGTTATCCCGATTACCGACTTAACAAAAATTTTAGGGGGGGCTGAGCCCCCCCTATGGCTCCGCCCCTGTCTCCAATCACTACCCCAAACCACCGGCTTCACCGATGCAATTAAATAAAGATTTCCCTCCATCTCGCCACGTAAACATGTTTCAGTCCCAACGGCCTTTGGACTCCTTGACACGAAGGATCAGTTCCAACATATGAACCGATTTCAAACTTCTGGATCTCATCAGCGGTCGGGCTTGATAAACAAATAAGGCTCGGGTAACCAGATGTTACAGCTTATCTTATATAGGTTTATATAGGGCCTTATTCCAAGCCGCTTAAACCCATTCTAAAATTGTACGACAGATGACAGTGGTTGAGATAAAGAGTGGGGTAAATAAAAGTGGTGGTGGGAGTTCTGGTGACAGGAGAACTGGCGGGCGAGGTTGAGGAGGGGTTGATCTAGAGAGCCGATGGGCCGAAAATAATTTGTGTTGTTACGTGGCGAGGCTGACGGAAGTGTGCTTATTTATAACATTTCCCTCGCAGTGTCCACAACACCGCGCGAGCCTCTTTCCACAGCTGCAGTGTGAGGCCACGCCATAGCTCAGTGCAACCAACGCAACTGAAAATTCCGTTCAGTGACTGCGTACAACTTTCAGTCACCAGACATTTGGAATTGTCACGGGCGGCAAAACCGGTGATCGCGAGACGTGTCCGTCCATCAAAGTATGCATCTTTGTATTCAATGTTTTACTCCTCAAATAAATGTGCCAGTTTTTCCCCCCCAGACTTGTGCTCGTAGCATCATGCCATGCGACAGCGAGTCCACGCGGAACTCTCACAGCATTGGCAGCCTTCGTGTTTAGACAACAGCCAGTAGAAGAAGCGGATACCGCAGAGTTACCTCTGAGAACCCTTCTCGTGACCCCCCCCCCCGGTCGCTTTTGCCACCTCCTCTTCACTTGACAGTCTAAACAATGTTTAACTCTCAGAGCTAGCATTTAGCCAACTTGTATGCATGCTCAAGTTCTTCTGCACCGTATGTCGCCCACTTAAGTGCAGAACCAAATTCTACGTGATCGTTTGTGCGTCCATCGTTGATCGGGCTGACATCATCAACTTACGACGCTTGAGAACCCGGTTTTGAAGCCGAGACGGCCGCCTAAATTCGGACCCACGACCTCAGCGGTGCCAGCTGAACGGTCTGACCACAAGAGGCACCAGGGGACACGTAAAATATTCCGTCTTTACAATGGAGATGTCTACTACGACTACTACGACTAATAATCATTTACAATTATTTGTAAGGCGCCTTCCACTAAGGTCTCAGGGCGCCTACTACGTACGGTAAGCATTGCCCCGAGAAGCCGACTTCACCAAGATGCGGGTGCGCGTGCGTTCAGCTGCAGCGTTTGAACTGCGCAGACTCGGCTCTGTGGCGCTGCGGGCACGAGCCCGCGGTGCCGCGTGCGAGATGTGGCAGGTTTAAAGAGCGTTTGGCACGGTGGATGGAAAAAAAAAGTATCAAGAAAATAATCAGAAGGGGGGGAAGGGGGAAACCAAGGTCCTCTCACCGAATCGGCCAAAAGCCATGCATCGACCTCGTCTTTTGAGGACACATGCGCGACCGGGATCTGTGTGAAACACAACAGAAAGAATAACAGTGACCAACAACATAAAACACCGCGCAAACAAATAGTATATGCAAATTAAACCAACCATGCAGTGAACAGAAACCAAAACAAATCCACTGGGTGTTGTGTTTGAAATAAATAGTTCCGTATGGTGTCTACGAGTGGCCAGCGTGAATGGGCCATTGTTTTCTGTGCAGCTCCGTGACTATCAGATGAAACACAAAACCAGACCGTTTTTAATCTTTAAGTACGTCGAGGCAATTTTTTTCCACGGCCGTGGCTTTGAACTCCATTCCATAGGGACCTGTTTTTGAATTCACTTCAAATCGATTAACAGACGGTCATTTTAGTTTTTAATCCAACGACCCGCGACGTCGATGCTAGTCTCCCTGACCATGACGGGGGGGGGGGGGGGGGGGGGGAGCATAATGTATATATTTTGATGGTATGAAAATAAAATGAAAATTCTAAAATGTTAAAATGCTAATTGTGAAATCACATCCAAAGCGGCAATATTAGGTTGTAAAGAAACATTTTGGAGAGGCCTATATGCAACATGATGTAGTTTTTAACGCACCTAAAACGAGATGTACTTTGGCATTTTAGACAGATTTATTTGCTGAAGAAGATCTCAAAGGGCTATGACTGGGGCGTCAACAACTTCCCCGACCCTCGCAAATCAATCAACTGTCACATTTATGGGGGGGGGGGGGGGGGGTGTGCAAATCGATTCAAGAAACTAAAAAAACATATTTAAAAATGTAATGGTCTCCCCCCTGTGACTCGTATGGGTCATTTGATCCCACTACATACAATACCAGTGGAAAAATCATAGAGGATGACACATGCGATGCAATGCTTGTATCATCTTGAGCACAGGAATCAATAGTTATCCATGGATCGACGAATCGCGACACCCCAAGCAAGCGAGCAACCTCTGGGCGACGTGCTTGCAGCCACCAACAAGTTTGCCTGATGTCGACGGCTGAACTATAACGTGGCCTACCCAGTAATTTTCGCACGGACAATTAGCAAAGCATCCCGTCTGCCGTGACAATAAAGCACAAGAGTGAAGCCAATGTGGGCTGACGATGGATGGTGGAAAAACCCAGCAAAGTGAAATCACGACGTTATTAATGATTCTCCTGACCGATCAACAAATTCCAGATATATTTTTCTTTTTTGCAAAGGACACCACGAATTTCAACGTCGCTTTTATCTTGTAAAACAAAACTAAAAAAAGGGGCCCATGTCATCTATTGATTAAGAGCCGATAACGGTTCTGCTGTTCCGTCCCGGCGTCCACGCAGCACACACGGCATGCGCGCAACATGCGCACGCGCGAGCGGCGTGCATCGACAAGCTATAGCAACGGCACGATACAAACACAAGCACACAGGGCAACGATGCAACACGACCGCGACAGCCTCTGAACACACCGGACCAATGACCGAGCACAGGAAACGTACCAGCGGCAGCGCTCATGCTACGGAATCCTCGCGTAAGCAGCAATGTTTTTTTTTAATCTTGTAGAGCCGAAACCTAACGGACCGATTTCGTAAGCGTTCACCGAAAAGCGGCAACGCGCTGTCGTCGACTAACAATGATGCGTCAGGAGCGCGAGACGTTTGCACGTTATGCAAGGTGATACTTGAAGCTGGCAGTGGAACGTATTGGCGGTACACCGGTGGCGCGCGGGATAAAAATACAAGAAACATTTTCACGATAATTATTTACTTCCCCGCAATTCGCAACCCCGCTCAGAACATCTTGCAGGGTGGTGGATGCGTCAAAATCAGTTCTCGTGATGTCGAAGCTGTCAGAAGATGAATGTCAGTTTAATTTTTGAATATAGACTTTTAAGAGGACCGGTGTGTTACGCTGCACCAGTGTACTGCCAATACGTGAAGTTATTTAAAAACATGTATTAACGTTGGCAACGGTGGATTGTGGGTAAATCATGAATTAGCATTGACAGGCATGGGGATTGATGACCAATAATGCTGCGGTCAACTTTTTCACTGGCACTCAAAGAGCGTGACCACATCTTCAAATACCTCAAAAATGGTGCCCTGTCCTTTCAAGACCAGACTACAACACTTCCATCGTATTTCAATTCTGTCATGGACTTTCCCCTTCACACCACCCCCCCCCCCCTACCCTCGAGTTCACTCGAACGTCCTCCCTCATCCTCCAGTAACCAAAAAGTGTTTGAATGACACCACCAGTCAATTTCAGACAAACCGGGAGGTCACTTCTTCTGCTCTGTTGCCCCTAAGGCTTCAGAAGTCCCTCCCACTAATTGTTCGCACCGCTGAGCTCCCCCCTACACAAGACCTTGCCCAAGATCCACCTTTCTCCTCTGCACACGATTAACTGCCTACCGGTACAGATCATCTTCTCTGCCGACCCTTGAAATAATCGTTAATAATTGTTAACATTGCATCAACCTTCTTTACGCTCATCGACTCTCGCTTTCATTTGCTGCTTTTCCACAATAATAATCTGTCCCGCTGCGGTGAAGCTTTCGCGGGAAGCTGCCGCATTAGACGCTACATTCATTAGATTTTTACAGGGAATATTTTTTTGTTAGGGTCTCTCACTTTGTCCATCCGTACTCGTTTCGGTAAAGTCACGTACGTATAAAATAAAATATATCACGTTTCGGGCGCAACACACAAGCGCCCGAAAAGTCGCGATTTATTTTATTTTCTACCCACGTGACTTTACCGAAAGAACCAAAAAGAGTACGGATTCCTGCAGTCACGGGAGCTTCAAATCAAATTTGTGCTTTAACCCTAAGACAATATATTTATTGTGGCCGTCACTCGTCCAACATAGCTTGTATCTCGTCCTTCTATTCCTCAGCAGCGGTCCTGAGCATCGTGTGAATACCCAGACTTTAAATGACAGCTTCCATTAGTTTGACTACTCTCCCATCTGCCCCGCCTAACATAGAAACCACTGTGCCCGTCTCAGCCACAGATCTTTTAAGTCCTTCCAGGAGTGAGATTCCTTGCTCCGATTTACCTTTCTCTGCAAGGCATTAGAAGCCAGCAGATGTGCTTTCAACGCTTATCTGAAAATGCCATCACACTTTATCAATCTTTGCTAAGGCCGTCCAACTGTACACATGCTCATCTATCTCCCAAGCTTCACTCTTTATCTCTACGACAACTCGAAGTTAAGATCTGAACCTATTTTTATGTCATCCTGCACCCTGTAATCTTATCCGGTTTTAATCTTTAGACATCTCAGTCTTAACACCGGTTGATATCTGTTTAGTTTTGTGTGCGAGTTATCACTCCCCACCACCACTTCCCATATTCCCCCTTTCAGAAGCATTTCATGGTCTTCTAGCACCTCTAGCGGCTGCTGGGGCGACATGAACTCATTACATACCAACTCGTACCGTGCGAAAAGCTTTATTACAACTGTGATTCAACGCCAGTTATCACGAGATTAAGGACCGATAGCCATCGATGCATCATTCCTACCTCGGTGGGCACTGTAACAAAAATATTCACGCACTGCGTTTGCTCGCAAAACTCCCCTTCACTTCGTCGTCTGTATCTTCCGTCAGCGCACCGTCTTGTATGTACTGTACGTTGAACTTCTTTTGCACCGTATGGAGCCAACCGCGCTAGACGGTGGAGGGTCTCCAACTGGTGTCACATCACAGTGCTTATACAGCTCTGCCTGGAAGCAGCAGCTCTGGCAGAAGTTTCGCAACACTTTGCCACCTTTTCACCGGTGTGACCGCAAATCACTTTGCAATGTCACGACCAACACAGGAGGATATATTTCAATGTGGTCTATGTAAGGTGGGGGGGGGGGGGGGATTTGAGATGAAATAACAAAGCATACAGTACAATTTCAACATGTATTCCAATAAAACATTATACATTTCATTGTTTTTCCTACATTGCCTTGCAAGGGCAGCTCTCTGATGCATTTTCTGCTTGTACCGTGTGATGATATCCGTGTTGTTTGGCATGACACGAGTGCTGTGCCCGACATAACCGTGAAAGCCTACGCAACCTAAACACGAGCACAACAATATTATAAAACAGGCGAACATTTTTTGGCAACGGCCCTTGTTTACGGCGGTATATTTTGCTGTTACAAAGCGGTGCCGATGATGAATGTGTCACGGGTTCTATTTTTGTCTGCCTCTAATCACTTGCGCTTGCGAACCACCGTCAACAATCTCTTAAATTTCCACCGTCCCGACAAAAAATAAATAGAACGTGCAGAGGCCGTGTAAACATTGCACTTGCAATGCCTGGCAAACGACAAAAAAACATATATCGGCGTGGGGGTGGGAAAAGTTTTGGACGCGAGTCAATGAACGCGACACTGGAAGAACGCAGCAGTGTCTACAGTGCTCCACGAGGTGTTGACTCTGGCAGTGATACAAGGCATGGTCGACTGTTACAGCAGATGAGCTACATTGATCAAGTCACTGGCTCTACGCTCCCCGTCCACCCCCCCCCCCCCCATTGGTGTGTGCCGAGTAATCTTTGGGCAATCGAGTAGCAACACGTTAAATACAGCGCACCAGGCGAATGATGCGCAACCGTACATTTTAATATTTAAAAATATTCTTTTTAAACCGGGGCTGCCAAAGTTAAACGGTTTGACCTATGAGCACACTGGTGGAAATGTTACGAGAAAACACCTCCCACGTACAATATTGGTGGACCCGCTTGTAAACCTGACACCCGAAAGTAGTAGAACTCGACACTGTGCCTAGCTACTGTGAACGTTCATTTTTTCGAAACCTATAATGCTGATATAATTATGGAGATGCAGATGTTATAGATTATTCAACATTTTGTGCTTTATAGCAGATTTGTCAATCCACTGCTAGATCAAGGCTTCATCAATGCCTCTATGACCTCCCCTGACAATAAAGTACAAGCCGACCATATATTACCACATTTTCACACCTGATGATGATTGCTTGTGTTGCAGTCGAAACGTCGTGAAAATTGTATTGTTTTATATTTTGTTTTGTTTCCCTTCTACGTGACTTTACCGAAAGAACCAAGAATATGAATCCCTGCAGTCACTAAAGCTTTAAATCAAAACATATATTACCAAATTCAGTTATTCGCAAATCTGTGAAAATCGAGCAAACCATTCATGCCACGGATATTTGTGAGACAATCGGAGGCTCCACGGTTATGTTTAAATACTATTTGTTATAAGCAAGTCTCCCAATTGTATTTCCGGAGTTAAAAACAACAGACGGCCTAGGCTGCACATCAGGTCAAAGGAATGAGCCCAAACACAGCCCAGAAAAGAGAACTTGTGACTGGCCTGCACTCTTCTTCTTCATCTTCAGCAAAATACAGAAACGGAATCAAAGCCACAATCAATGTCGAAATCATTTCCTCCACTCTGCTTTTGTTCGAGTCCGTGCTATTCTTAGCCCGCTACTCCTCTGCTGACCGGCAGTCTGTTATGCTATCCTCAAACCACTTGACCTACTTGCTAATACTGCTTTCCCGCATGCTGGTGTTCCCATGCACGGTATGCCATCTGGGAAAATTACTGTGGTTTTAATTTTCGACCTTTATATATATGCATATCGGTATTAAGCTATTACATTATTTTTATTTTAACAGGTATAGCACACCGAGTTATATCGCTATTTTTCAGAAGCGACTTGGGCACAAATAAAGTGGATTATCACGTGGACATTTATAGAATCCAAATACTCTAAACGCATGTTTCTACGTGTGGAGGGAAAAAAACCAGAGGACCTGGAGAAAAATCCACACGGCCACGAGCAGAACATCCAAACTACAAATATACAGCAGCAGCAGGCGTCGGGGGTCAGAGATCGGACCCACGCACTCCTCCATACCAGGCGAGGGAGTTGAAGGGTGTAATGATTCACTGCCCACCCCGCCGCATCACATGGATTCCATACCCGCGATTCAATCAATCAATCATTATTTTAGGTGCCATTAACGCCCTCAATAAAGTGGCCATCAGTGCACCATTTAGGCAGAACGGGAGTGGTACAGGGGGGGCACAGAGCAACAGGAATGAAAAAAGTGACACCGTTACGTCCTCGGCGGCTAACACCGACTGAGCAAGTCAAATTTCAACCGAGCGTAAACTAAAGTGCTGCCGTGCGCAACAAATAGCATGAGAAAGGTAAGTAGTGAAGTAAAAGAAAATGATAAGTAAAGACAGCTTTTTTTACACGCTTTTATTTAACTCACTCTGTCTGTTGTTGTTGTATCCTCAAATCTTGTAACTCAATGTTAACCCACTTCCCAATGTGGTATCGAATGCCAACTTCCTATACTTATGTCATACTGATGACAATACTATATTCCATCATTAAAAAAAAAATTAACATTCTTTTTTTATAGGTTAATGTTTCCCCTTGGGTCTAATTGTCCACGGTAAACTGACGTTGGCTGTAAATCACCACGGTCCCTTACGTTGTGGCAAGCTTCGGGGCCACTTCCTGGAGTCGTGGAGTTTTGCCATTACTAGTACGGTACATTTCATTAAAGCGTGTTTTATAAAAAAGTATTTTAAAATATTACTTTTTACTTCTGATTTTATGGGAAGGCGAGTCTGAAGAGGTGTGTCTTGCACTGACCACGGAAATGAGAGATTGAGCGATTCAGGGCTGCGATTCGATTTGTGAATCAAATCACTTTGTAACATCGCAGCATGATGGCGCCTGATGAGGCTGCACGGATCACATGAACCCCCACACATGAACATGGTCCACATGAACTTATTCGCAGCACGTGGGTAAGCTGCATGTATCGCGTGGCTAAGAATCAATATGAAACATTTCATCAGCGCATTGTCGCACCAGTAGAACATTGTCAACTGGCTAGTTAACGGAGTGTAAAAGCAGTCGAGATTCCAAAGGTCTTGATTTAAAGCTTTCGTAACTGCAGTAATTCATATTCTTAGTTCTTTCGGTAAAGTCACGTTGAAGGGAAACAACAAAATAATAATATATATATAAAACAATACAAATTCTCACGACGTTTCGACCATAACACGGTCGTCTTCAGGTGTGTTGGTTTGCATAAATTGATTTTTAAACGGCGCATTTATTTATTTAATTAAAAAAAACGTTAGCGCCACGCGCAGCGATTTGGCAGTTTATTTAGGACTAGTCCATCTATATTCTGAAAAGAGGAGGGGGGAGACGAAATTTTTTTTTTTAATAATGTATGCTGTCTGAAAGCCACTGTAAGCGTGATCAATTAAGACCTGAAATGGTTTATCAAATCTTTCCAATGATTGCTAAGATAGAATCCATCTTCTCGGTTGAAATAGTCTCTGTGCTTGCATATGTGGATAGCCTCATGAACGAATCTCTCATAGTAGCCAGATGGCTTACAAAGAACCTCTGTCTTGGAAAAGTCAATGGCATGTGAGCCTACTGAATTATAACAATGATCTGCCACGGCCGAGGTGTTGGTCCTACCGTGTTTAAGGTCTGCTTTGTGTTCACGAATGCGGTCCGAGACATGGCGTTTGGTTTCTCCAATGTAACTACTACCACAGAGGCAACTTAGTTTGTAGACACCAGGGTATTGTATGTCCGGAATCACATCTTTTACAGACGGAACCAGATCACGGATTTTATGTAATGTGTTGAAACGGACCTGGATCTTGTGTTTATTCAAGATTTTGGAGATCTTTTCTGTGATCCCCGCAATGTAGGGGCAAGTGATGGTTTTGAAAGGCTCCTCAAGAGGGTTCTTATTCATGGTTTGAGTGATAGCTTTGCGGATTGTATAGTCGGAGTAACCATTAGCCCTAAGAGCTTGGTGTAAGTGCTTGAGTTCACTGCCTATGTGTTCCTGGTCGGATATGCATTGGGCTCTATGATACAGAGTCTTGATGAGAGAATTCTTCTGTGATGGATGGTGGTGGGAATCCGGTTTCAGATAAGCATCCGTATGGGTAGCTTTCCTGTAGACAGAGTGGCTCATTGAACCATCAGGACTCTTTTTAATTAGGACATCCAAAAAAGGTATCTTGCCATCTATTTCGACTTCCATGGTAAATCTGATGGCTGGGTGTATGGAATTGATGTGGTCGAAGAATTGGTCTAGAGCAGGCCGGCCATGTGGCCAGATGACAAAAGTGGCATCCACGTACCTCTTCCATAAGGTTGGGCGCAGAGTGGCAGTCTGGATAGCGTCAGTCTCAAATTTCTCCATGAAAATGTTAGCTATAACCGGAGAAAGGGGGGAGCCCATTGGGGTGCCCTCAGTTTGTTTGTAGAAAGTTCCATTCCAAGTGAAGTATGTATTGGTTAAACAGTGTCTCACCAGGGGGGGGTACCTCAGTATTTAGTCCTTGATGAACCAAGTCTTCAATGATTGCAATGGTGTCAGGTACAGGAACCTTGGTGAATAAGGAACCTTGGTGAATAAGGAAACTACATCAAAACTGACAAGCAGGTCGTCTGGGGACAGGGAAATACCCTTGATTGTCGATACCAGGTGAGTAGAATTTTGTACCGCAGAGGTGGTTTTTCCAGTGAAAGGACGCAGGATTTCAGACAAAAAACGAGCTAGTTTGTAGGTGGGGGAGTTGATAGTAGAGACGATGGGACGAAGGGGTGTATCTACTTTATGTATTTTTGGTAAGCCGTATAATCTTGGTGGCCTGGCAGCAGAAGGTTTCAACGAAAACTGTTTAGATTGATCAATTAATGCGGTTGAATCAGAAATTATTTTGTTGGTTTGTGTGACGAGGCTGTTGGTGGGATCTCTTTTTATTTTTGTATATCTACCATCGTCGAGTAATTCTTTAATTTTGTTGTTGTATTCTATTTTATCCATGATGACTGTAGCATTGCCTTTGTCAGCTGAGAGGACTACAATATCATTCCTCTTTTTTAATTTATATAATTCAAAACGCTCATCTTTGCTGAGGTTGCTAGCTGGCATCTTAGCGTTTTTGAGGGTTGCAGCGATTTCAGATCTTGCTACGTCTGCAGCGATGTGACCCAGGCCCCTGAGAGCAACGTCTACTTGGGCAATTATATCATTAACTGGTATGTGTTTAGGTGTGACAGCAAAGTTTAGACCTTTAGCTAAAACGGATTTCAGACCATCGGAAATAGAACTGTTACTGCGATTAATTACGACTTTGTTAACGTCTAACTTTTTGGTGTGGGTCCAGTCTTTTGTTGAAGAGGAGGTTAAATTTGGAAATCAGGTTTTCCTTACATTTGGTCGACATAGTAGCAGCTGAAGAGGAAGTCATATTGTCTACATGTTCTCTTTTCAGAATATAGATGGACTAGTCCTAAATAAACTGCCAAATCGCTGCATGTGGCGCTAACATTTTTTATAAATAAATAAATGCACCGTTTAATAATAAATTTATGCAAACCAACACACCTGAAGACGACCGTTTGTGTTATGGTCGAAACGTCGTGAGAATTTTTATTGTTTTATATGTATTTTATTATTTTGTTGTTTCCCTTCAACGTGACTTTACCGAAAGAACTAAGAATATTCCAAAGGTCGTTATGGAGAGGTACTCACTGCGCCTGTGTTGTGTTGGCGGGCGTCCAGAGCTCCTGCCAGACCCGTGACCGCCTGCGGATCCTCGTACACGATGCTGCAACACAACACCAGTTTCATTTAAACACAGCGTCAAGTCTCTGCGAAAATCACCTGTTCACCTCCTGGGACAAGACCGAGATCCAGGCTAAGGTACATTTACAATTCGTCATAAACCATCATGCGAACTCCGGTCACCCTCGCAGCGGCTTTTGGCTGGCCATCGAACAAAGGCGGTCACCGCATCGCCGCGCTTTCAGATGCGCTTCTGCGGCCGTCTGGAACGCTCTTCCTTCCGATATTAGGAAGCCAATGAAGCTATGCACTTTTAAATCATCTCGATTGAGAGCGAATATCTTTAGAACTGCTTTGTGCGTTTAGTGTATTCCTCCTCCGCACCTCCGATTAGCACGGTTGGCTACGTACGGTGCGAAAGAAGTTCAACATACATCATGCCTCGATTATTTTTTTGATAATTTGAGCGCGGCATAGCAATACAATAGCCATACATTGTGCAATTAAAGTATTGAATAGATATGGTAAAAGGTCATTTGTGAAAAAATGGTAAGTACAGATGGCAATCGAACATGCCAGTTAGCCGAGTTATACATATGGTCGACCAAATTTTGTAAGTGCATGGAACTTTTCAAGACAGAAACTCAGCCTACTTTTGAACTCGTTTACAGAAGTCTGTGGAGCATTCTAAGTTGATTGTACAGACGCAGTGGGGCCGTTTAGAGTACAGTATGCAGTAGTAGAGTACTGTATGTCCAGACTGTCACGAGTGCCACCACTCGGCAGTGTCCTGAAGCTCCCGTAAACAACAGATCTAAGATCAGCGCGCACAGCAAGATGCCGGATAGTCGTAGGAATGTTTCCGGATACTGAAAGAACATTTGTTTCTGCCGTCTATGACAGATGCCGGCTAATTGAGCAGTCAATTAACCGGCATAACAGAGCTTCTGATGTACAGATTTTAAAAATTTTCGTTTTACAGTAGCGTTATTGACGAATGTGTTGAGTTTTTGTAATTTAAAAAATAATCCATGATAGATATAAAAACGTAATGCCAATTATATTCTTGGTTCTTTCGGTAAAGTCACGTAGAAGGGAAACAATAAAATAATAAAAATATTTTATAATAATAAAAATATTTTATTGTTTCCCTTCTACGTGACTTTACCGAAAGAACCAAGAATATGAATCCCTGCAGTCACGAAAGCTTTAAATCAAAATGTAATGCCAATTATTTACTTAGATGTGCTTTACAATAATAACATGCCAAGGGGGGGTGCAATTTCACAGTGTGACACATGCGACAATAAAAAAAGCAGACTAAATGCATTTAAGGTGCAATTCTTGGGAATGTGCAGTGTAAAACGTTAACATCTACCCAACAACGCCAAGCAAAACCCATTGAAATCAAATCCAGAATTCTCCGGAGACCTCGTAATGTTCAAAAACAAGCCCGTGTCCGCACACACATGTGCAGCCTTTGTAGATTGCATCAGAGGTAAATTCCTCTCAAGATCGGTGGATATTTGATGCCGTTTTGTTTGTGCGCTTTTTCACAACTGCCACACGCAACCGACCATTATATCTTGGGGTTTCCAGATAAAATCTCGAAACATTACTTGCGACAATACATACACAGAGGATTCCTCATATCTGAGATGATGTTGGTGGGGGGGGGGGCCCATCACAGATAATTTACAGATGTGTAAAACTTTCTTCCTAATTTCCATGTTTAAACACCCTATTATCCACACACATATCAATGCAAAATGCAGTGTACGCATGCATATAAATGCAAGTTATATTTACTTACGTTGCTTCTAATTGCCAATCAAAACAATTCCCCACACCTTTTGGTCACGAGTACTTCACCAGGATGGTCAGTGCAGGTTGGTGAGACAGGTGCCAGGGACTGGTTTGGATATTACTCGCCGATGACCTTTAGCCGTGGCCGGGAATCAAGCTCGGGTTGGCATGTTCCTATTCCGCAGTGCCTTGGGGCACTGTGACCACCGCTCCTCTCAAGTAACGCGTCACGCACGCACATGGGTGCGTCTGCATGCTTGTGGCATCTCGTTATGATGCCGCTCGCGACTATTGAGCTACAAAAACATAACAAGAACGAGAGAGATGTGAGATAAATAAAACAATAGACGAATACAGTGCTCATGTAGTAGTTCAATACTGGAGCGTCATTAACACTGTGATATGGGTCTCAAAATAAGGTGACATTGCCTCCAAGTTCAAACCAGCACCGGGCAGTGCTGATCTCTGTTGGGTAGACTTGAACCAGTGGTGGTAAATCCCACATTCACATGACCATAATCTATCGACATAGAACAAATGTGACTTCACACAAAGTGCTACCAGGTTAAATTGATTTTCAATTGAGTGCAGCTAACTTTTTAGTGTGCGATTTGTTAATGTGAGACTGGCAGGCATAGGCATACTAGGTAAATGATAACAGATAAATGATAATGTAACACAGGGTCTTAGATGTCCTCTTTACAGCAGATGCCACACTTGGGCAATTTCCAGAAAATGTCCTGAGCAGCTGTGGGAATTGAATGGAATGATTTGCTGGGAAGCATGTTGACTGGTTAGCCATCAGGCGAACAATTACTTTTTTATGCATTGCCCTCTAAATCACCCTTATAGCTATGGAGTCAAAGATCAGCAAAGTTATGGTGTCCTGGCATAAATACAGTTTAAGGTTTTTTCAGTTTCATTTATTAGGCATAACCCTGTGAGCCATGCGGCTCTTGACTCGGGTGCAACTGCAACAAAACAAAAACATGAACAAGAAAACATCTTAAAGTGACTACACGCAACAGAAAAATCCTGGAAAAAACAGCAAAGTCTTCCAGAAAAAAAACACCGTATTTCAACGGTGTGCAAAAAATCCCAGTGGGATGCAAGTCAAACAATAACAACCATAAGGGTACATACAATACCCTTGATAAAAGCGCATTCACGTTTTATTTAAACGAAATTACATATAACGGGCACTTTCAACCAAAATGGAAATAAAATAAATGGACACGTTCAAGCAAGCCTTTGTCCAAGCCTCGGGATGTTACGATGACACCAGCGTAGGTCATCCCAGCCTCTTCGTAAGAGCGGGCTTGTGCCAGAACTGCCGGCAGGTAAACAAAAGCATGCAAAAGCGCACTTGCAGCTGTTTCAACATGCTGGCCATTCAAATCGTAATAATAAAGTGGCAATTAACCATGTAACTGTTTTGTGTCTCCTTACCCCAATTACATCTCTCGGTTACGGTGACAATAAACAGAAAAGGCAACACACGATTCCCTTCGTGGTTTCTGTCAAGTGTCAACACGGTTATTCCATTCGGACCTCTTACAGAGAAGAAAACCTAGCTTCTTCTTTGGTTCTTTCGGTAAAGTCACGTAGAATGAGAATAAAATAATACATTAATAAAATAACACAATAAAATTCTCACGACGTTTCGGCCACAACACTTGATGAAGGCCACTTCTGTTGTGGCCGAAACGTCGTGAGAATTGTATTGTTTTATTTTATTTTATTAATTTATTATTTTATTCTCACTCTACGTGACTTTACCGAAAGAACCAAAGAAGATGAATCCTTGCAGTCACGAAAGCTTTAAATCGAAAACCTAGCTTGATCGGGGTGTCCCTTAACCGTGGCGAGCTGAGAGCCCGGTGTTTCATTGAATGAACGCAAAGCGGCGGGACAGCAATGCGCCATTAAGAGATGCTATTCGCGTGATTTTGCATTTCTTAAATGACTAATTGCAGGAGATTACATTGACTCACGGGCAGCCACTCCGTTTGCAACCAGGATCTCAGCGGTGCCTGCGCAGCGCTCTGCCTCTCGGGTCACTCTCGGCATCTCCGTAGAATACAATACCTTAGAAATAATCGGTGGTGAAATAATGTTGATGCCGCCTTCTATTGCCCTTGCACGCCGACACTATTTACGCTGTTTATTAGTTTTATTGTGAGCGCGTAGGCATTGCACCATACTCTATCCCACTTGTATATTATCCGAGATCTCAACTTTTGTAAATAGATTTACGTGACATTGAGCTCTCTCACCTGATGCTAAATAACAAAAAAACATGACTTAAAACAAAAATTAAGGTTAGTTAAGGGGCGGCACAGAGATTAGTGCACGGTACTACAATCCTGACACAATTTTAATTCTCGGCCGTGCCTAACATCGCAATTGAGCGATAACCGAGCCGTTACTCGGCCCCCCACCCCATAATCTATCCATGAATAATATTATTTTTTTTTTAGGATTCTGACCACCAATCGGCATGAAGGGCCAATCTGGTAGCAAGGGCACTTGAACTGCCCTGGCGGGTCAAGTTGCCCCGGGTGCCCCGGGTTTACCAGCGCAGATGAATGACTCCGGCAGTCCTTTTGTAAATGGCACCTGCGACAAAGAGGCAAGCACGTGATCCTTGTGGAAGTCAACGTGACTTTATTAGGAGGGGGGTGGATTTATTTTCCGCTGTTGTCATGTAAATTGCAGAGCATGGGCGGTCGGTCGTGGCGTTGTGCAGGGATGATTGTGCGCGCGAGGGCCAGGCAACTGTTTGTGCAGCTTTCCATGCCGATCCACAACTCCTTTGGGTTCAGCGTTTTTTTTTGTCTCACGCAGAAAGCTTGGCTCTTGAAGAAATTGCTACGAGATTATATTTACATGCAGTGCCCGTGAATGCATTCTATTGCAGTAAACACATTCCAGCCAAAGTGAAGTCTTCACATGACATGTAGTTTTTCAAGGTATACAATTATATGACGAAAGCAGAAACCTGGGTGGGAATTTACTCAGGAAGAGCAGATTTCCCCATCCCAACAACTTTAACTCAATGGAGGCTTTTTTTGAGTTAGATCGCGTAAATATAAATGTGTCGTTAAACCCACCACCACCCGACACAGCCAATTAAGCAAGGTTCGTCACGAGTAAGGAAATGTGCATAGACTCAGCATCAATAAATCTCACAAAGAAAAAACAAATGTTGTTACTTCTACAATAAAACAAACTTGTTGACATAGATTTTCGCAGCTGTGCTGTATGTTGTTCATATGTATGTTGAACTTATTTCGCACCGCACGTTGCCAACCGTGATAATCGGAGGTTCGGGGGAAGGAAAACAAACTAAACACAAAGCAGTTCTAAAGAAATGAATTTTCAGTTTAGATTTAAGAGTGCATAGCTCCAGTGGCTTCCTAATATCTGAAGGAAGAGCATTCCGGATGGCCGCAGAAGTGCATCTGAAAGCACGCGTTGTAAAGACCATCTTTGTTCGATAGTTATCCAAAAGCCGCTGCGAGGATGACCAGAGTTCACGTGCTTGGTTATGCTCCTTGAAGAGATAAGCAAGGTATTGTGGTTCATTTGTGGCAAGCACTTTATGTGTAATGAGCGCGACCTTCTGATGTATTCGTTCGGCAACCGGAAGCCAATGCAGCTTGGTGAACACCAGACAGACACAGTCCGATCTTGCAGTGCCCGTCACGACACGTGCCAAATAATTTTGTACACGCTGCAGCTTTGCTCATGTTTTTGCCAGACGTCCCGTAGACTTACTGTTTCCTCTGGTCAGCCAGGGAGCTGCCGCGGCTCTGGGCGAACATGTCGAACGTGTCGGCCTTGGCGGGGACAGCGCTCGACACGCCCAGCGCACTCAGGGTTCCCGTTACGCTGTCTCCGGCTACACCTGCGACGACAGGACAACCAAAAACTAGCAAACGTTCCACAATCAGCTCGTGGTTCTGTCGGGGCAACGGCTGCTCTAAGTCAATTTGCGTTCATGCTCACATGAGCAGGGCAATGATTATGCACGGATTTTAATTGAAAAAATTACAATGCTCACGTATGCACACGTCAATTGATAAGTGCATCTAAAAATCCATAATTTATTATTTTATTGCATGCATAACACAACACTAAACCAAATGAAAGGCCACGGAAGCGAATAAGATCGACAATACATGAGTGGCTGTACACAAAGGGGGCCGACAAATATTTAATTTTACCTTTTAAAAATCCGCACGGGGTCCATTTTTTACTCCCATGCCTTTCTTTCCCGAGGACTATGCGAATGCATGGTTAAATTGTGCAATGTAAGTGACCAAACAAACATACATTTCCCTCGTGTCAAAGAAAATCATTCCCCAATTCAGTTGATATAAGCGGCATGAATCCTGGTCTACCAGACTTCATAGAGCCCAAATTCCATTCACAAAGTCTGACAAAGCGAGTGGGCCATGCACTCCCCAAGGACATCATCAGAATGCAGTAGCAACTTCTTTTCCTGAAACATACAGACAAAAACACATTTCACACTCAACATGCTCGCCTTCACTGCCATGGCCACCACAGAGGCAGCTCACGTGCAGCCCCAGGCGATAAGACAGGTGCTTAGAAGCGTCCCCCCCCCCCCTGCCGTGAGCGAGGCTTTGCTGCGGCGGACGTACCGATGCTGGCCAGCTGGCTGGCTAAGGAGTTGCTCGCCACATCCGGCGGGTTGGTGGCCAACGAGCCGGGTCCCGGGTTTTTTAGGCCCCCGTCTGGAAAGGTGTTCGCCTGATGGTGACGGACACGCAGAGCACACAGCGAGCCCGGATCGACTCGACACGCGGAGCAATGTACAATATATGCACGAAAATAATCGGTATGGTTAGTCCTTAAGACAAATATATACATGGTATTCTATCGTGCTTGATGATAAACACAGCAGGCTTCACTACCCTTAATTTAAAACAAAATAAATGAACAATTTCAGAATAAGTACTATTTTAAAATAATAAAAAAAAAAATTTTCGTGCTACTGATATTTTTTTTCCACAGCCTCAGCGAGGATGTTTTTTGTTTGCATTGTGGTCAGAATGCAGACATGATTCCTTGTAAAAGGTTTCAGTTTGGTGTTTTAACAACATCTTAACACCTGTTATTCTTGGTTCTTTCGGTAAAGTCACGTAGAAGGGAAACAATAAAATAAGAAAAATATGAAACAATAAAATTCTCACGACGTTTCGACTGCAACACAAGCAATCATCATCAGGTGTGAAAACCACAGCAAAAAAAACCTCCAAAATCTTGAATAAACACAAGATCCAGGTCCGTTTCAACACATTACATAAAATCCGTGATCTGGTTCCGTCTATAAAAGATGTGATTCCGGACATACAGTACACTGGCGTCTACAAACTAAGTTGCCTCTGTGGTAGTAGTTACATTGGAGAAACCAAACGACATGTTTCGGACCGCATTCGTGAACACAAAGCAGACCTAAAACACGGTAGGACCAACACCTCGGCCGTGGCAGATCACTGTTATAATTCAGTAGGCTCACATGACACTGACATCTCCAAGACAGAGGTTCTCTGCTTGGCATCTGGCTACCATAAGAGATTCGTTCATGAGGCTATCCACATATACAAACAGAGACAATTTCCACCGAGAAGATGGATTCTGGCTTAGAAATCATTGGAAGGATTTGATAAACCATTTCGGGTCTTAATTGTTCACGCTTACGGTGGCTTTCAGACCGCATCCATTATTTTCGTCTCCCCCCTCCTCTTTTCCAAACATAGATGGACTCGTCCATCTGAATGAATGGCAAATCTCTCTCCGTGGTGCTAACGTTAAAAATAACCGCCACTTTTTTCAAATGTTCTTGCTGTGGTTTTCACACCTGATGATGATTGCTTGTGTTGCAGTCGAAACGTCGTGAGAATTTTTATTATTTTATATTTTTTTATTATTTTATTGTTTCCCTTCTATGTGGTGACTTTACCGAAAGAACCAAAAATATGAATCCCTGCAGTCGCGAAAGCTTTAAATCAAAACCTGTTTTGTTGCCAGAAAAAAGGGTAAAAACCTATTATAAGCCTCGCCGAGTTTAATAATTAATTTTCATGAGAGTCTCCCGCTTGGGATGTTTCGTCATTTTTTCTGTGTGTTTTTTTTTTCATTTCAGGGAGATCAGAGTAACGGGAGAGAATTCTCACGATAATGAGATAACACTCAAAACTCCAGAGTCAGCCATCAATTTGCACGTTGTACAGCCACCGAAAGACTACAAAAACCCCATCGCCAAGCTGGGTATCAGTGAGCCAACAATACACTGAGCAGCTCAATCTTGTCAGTGTTTATTATGAATGCAGAGTATAAAAAAAGTGATTTACTGCTCAAATGAGCATCGAGGCAAAAGTGCATCTCCTGTTTACAGTTCTGAGCCAATGGTGGAAACTTCACATTCTCATGGCTGGGATGAGCCTATCCATGGGACAATGCCTGACAATATCCCAACACAAGTGGTACTCATTTTATTTATTTACCCCAGAAAGATGAAAAGCCAAGTCAACCTCCACAACTGCTGTTATCTGACACCGATCGATTTGATGTACAGCCCCACGAATTTAACCTGCCCTGATAATCACACGCCGACTCGATGGAAGGCCCACTTCAACAGAGTGTACCAGTGGATTTTTATCGGGACGTTCCAAATGACACAAGCCAAGTGCACGATCCTACAGTGCCCCCTGTCTATCCACCGCAGGCCATGCAGATGCAAATCTGTGCGCTAACGTACACCGACTTCACTCGTGCGTACGTCGAAACCCCCGGCTAGCCGGATCAATAGGTGATGATAGCCCTGGGTCCGGTGAGCTGAAAAGTCCAGCTAGCTGCTAAACTCATAATTGAAATCTATTATCAAGAAACAATAACAATGTATTAATGTACACATGTATTGCTGTGAATGTATTCGTGTGTGTGGGGAGCGGTAGTGTAGTAGGGTTAGCGTGCGGCGCCACGAACCCGGCGACCCGAGTTCAATTCCCACTCGCGGTCAACACCGGTGACGATCATCTGAACCGGTCCTGAGCCTCCCCTAGGTCGACTCAGCCTCAAAAGAGCACTTGGTGCGGTGTGTTAAACATCGCCACTGGGGAGACAAAGGCGGCTGGGCACAGCGCTGGCCACCCACCTCCCTCGTGTGCTGTGCCGGGCATCATAGGTGCTCGCTAACAGCACTTGCCCTAACAGCCTGTTACAGACTAACAAATAACAAGGACTCAGGTACATTATGTGCTGGTGTGTACTGTGCTCTATGGTATTTATGTCCATCAGTCGGAGGTCACGACCCCCCCCCCATCCCCCTCCCTTCCCACTCCACCTGCTCGCTATCCCTAACAAGAAACGAATCACAGCAAGCCCGGCAGCAGGATGTTCATCTGGCACCCGCTCCTCATGTCCCTTGGGGTAAGACGCCCCCCTCCCCCGCTAAGTCATCATTGCCGATCTCGCCATGAAGCATAAACCGTCACGTGAACTCCGGCCACCCTCGCGGTGGCTTTTGTCTAGCCATCGAACAACGTCCGATATTAGGAAGGCACTGGAGCCATGCATTTAAATCTAGATGGAAAACCCATTTCTTTAGAACTGCTATTTGTGTTTAGTTTGTTGTCCTTCCCCCGCACCTACGATTAGCACGGTTGGTTAAGTACGGTACGAAAGAGGTTCAACATCACATACGTATCTCCCTCAGTACATGCATGACAGTTGAACTACATATTTAACGTTTTACACAAGATCGCATGTTCTAGCGCATTTTAATTATGCATTATATGTAAATTACATTACATTTACTTTGGTTTGCATTATATTAACATTTTTTTATTTAATTTAAATTAGCCAACCTGGTCTCGCTAAATGTAATATTCGGCTAGCCAGAGTTTCACTGTACTCTACATTTTACCAATTAGCGAGCCATAATTATAATATTCTTTGGGTCTTTCTGTAAAGTCACGTAGATAGGTACAAATTCATAAAAATAATAAGTAAAATAAACAAAAAACTCCGACGTTTCGATCACAACACAAGCGGTCATCATCAGGAGTAAAGAGGGGGAAAGCGGCTGAATGCAGACTGTTTTTATAGGGCCTAGCCGTAGGGTCATAAACGAAGTGGGCGGGGCTAGTGATGTTAATGTGAGAAATTAGCATAATGTTAATGTTAACACAGTACATAAAATTCGTGATCTGATCCCATCTGTGAAGGACAGGATCCCTGATATGCAATACCCTGGCGTCTACAAACTAAGCTGTGTCTGCGGCAGTAGTTACATTGGGGAAACTAAGCGACATGTCACTGACCGTGTTCGTGAACACAAGGCAGATCTGAAACACGGTAGGACCAATACCTCGGCCGTGGCTGATCATTGATTTAATGCGGTGGGCTCACATGAAATTGATTTCTCCAAGACGAAGGTACTTTGCAAGCCCACTGGCTATTAACAAAGATTTGTTCATGAAGCCACCCATATATACAGACACAGGCACAATTTCAATAATTGAAAAGACGTCATCAACCAGTTTAAGTCATAACTGGCTGTGATGTTCCCATCCCGCCACCTTCCGATGTTAGTTTTTTTTATTTTTTCCCCGTGGCTTCGGCTCTCCGATTACACATTAACAGGTTGAATTTCTCGCGCCAACGTGGCCACCTCTGGTGGCTCTCCGATCTCACATTAACACGCTAATCTCTCACATTAACACGCTAATCTTTCACATTAACACGCTAATCTCACATTAACACCCTAATCTCTCACATTAACACGCTAATATCTCACATTAACAGGCTAATCTCTCACATTAACATGCTAATCTCTCACATTAACACGCTACTCTCTCACATTAACACCCTAATCTCTCACATTAACATAGCCACCCGCACACTCGTTGTGGAGGCCGCTCACCGATCTCACATTAACATTATGCTAATTTCTCACATTAACATCACTAGCCCCGCCCACTTCGTTTATGACCCTAGGACTACACCCGATTAAAAACACGTCTGCATTCAGCTTCCCCCCTCTTTCCTGCCGATGACGATCGCTTGTGTTGTGATCGAAACGTCGTAGCTTTTTTTGTTCATTTTAGATTGATTATTTTGATTAATTTGAACCAACCTACGTGACTTTACCGAAAAGACCCCAAAAAATATTAATTCCTGCAGTCGCGAAAGCGTTACGTAAACATAAAGAATATAGTTAAACACATAATGTAACACGTAGGCTTTTGTGACCAATATTATCCACAAGAGGTTTTTTTTTACGTTAGATCGCACCTGATTGGTTCACAGGTGACGACATCACATTTATCCCTCTATTTAAAAACGAAACAGGAGGATTTCTCGACAAATCTGGCTGTCACCTGATGAGGCTGGTTGTAATTACTGGTGAAACGTCGTAGTCGAATTGTAAATGTTGTGGATGTACTTTCAAACACACCGGTGTGCTGTACTAGTAATGAATGGAAACGTTTTGTTTACGTTGACAAACCTTATTAATCAGCTGTCGGGTGGTGGCAGGTTAACGACACATTTATACATTTATGCGATGTAACCCAAAAAAAACCTCTTATGGAAACACAATTATTATATTTGCTGAACGTATTTGCACAAACATGGATCTAACCCGGCATAAAAAAAACATACTACCACGGTTTGTGGTAGTGGGTAATAGATAATAATTATCATTTAAACATAGAATATTATATACATTCAGAACATTATGGTTACTATTTTCACGAGCTTTTATTAATGTGATCCATGAGGTTATTAACACATTTTGGGTTATAAGTCTGCAGGGTCCGTGTATATTATATTAAATAATTAAGAGTGGGTCTTTAGTGCCTATTGAGGTTTGGGATACATGTTGTTACGCGAAGTGGATAATCGTTCTTGCAGATGGCATTATGCAAACAGCTACACTTTGAGCTTTTTATGACTTACGGCTAGGCGAAGCCGTCACACGAATATAAAATCAGACGAATGCCAAGAGACGTTATATCAGTGTCCAGTGCGGCAACAAAAGTGTGTAAAAACAGTACAGCTGCCTCTGTGCATCGTCGGCTGTCACACTGCCGCACCCACGCAGTGCCACTCGTAGTTACGAGGAGGCGCATCCTGCAGGCTGAAAAGCTATCCTCTCTCTCTCCGCAGTCCCGTGGATTTCTTTTTTCCCCTCCGGGTCCTCCGGTCGTTTCCCTCCACATTTAGAAACGTGCGTTTACACGGGATTATTTTGCTGCCATAAATGTCCACGTGAGAAGCCACTTCTCGTTGAGCCATCCTTTGTAGCCAGGTCGTTTCTGAAAAAGAAGCTGTATAGTTGAGTGGTCTTTACTTGATTAAGTAATAAATATTTGAGTTGTATTTGTATTTTTTTAAAGTGATTTGTTTACATACTCTTTGGTTCTTTCGGTAAAGTCACGTAGGTATAAAATAAAATAAATTATTGCTGTGGTTTTCCCACCTGATGATGATTGCTTGTGTTGCAATCGAAACATCGTGATTTAATTTATTTTGTTTTCTACCTACGTGACTTTTCCTGAAATAACCAAAGAGTATGGATCCCTGCAGTCACGAAAACTTCAAATCAAGATTGATTTGTTTACCTTTCCTATACTTTGCACTCCTATTGTGTTTTTGTAGTGTTTGTTGTAACGTTCTGACCTGTCCCTAATGGATGGACATCTGTGAAAAAGAGCTTGATAGCTCACCGGATTCCTCCAGTATATTCTGATTCTGATATGAAAAGGTGAGATTCAGAACCCGTTGCATTCCGTGTACTCTGCGGGGCAGCCGTTCGTTCGAAAGGAATGTCGGGAAGTGAGCGACTCGATTCGGTGACGGCAAAACACGCACTCTCTGCTGATCAGCGCCGGCGGAGAGACAAATTCATAAGAGCAGCAACTTCCGATAAATGCACAGAAATAGTACAGGTCGACCGGCGAATTACAGTTCGGAACGTCGTGGGAGGATAGCTGTTATTGCACCATGCAAAAAAACCTGACCTGGTTTCTATACACACACACACAGACGAGGGGGAGGGGGGGTGGGGGCGATGCTCGATTTAGCTGGGAAGCATTTGAGCGCTTCTGTCCGCCTTGCACAGTGAATACCACCATCACCCCATCACGCCATCACGCCATCACACCATCACGCCATCACGCCATCACACCATCACGCCATCACACCATCACGCCATCACGCCATCACGCCATCACGCCATCACACCATCACGCCATCACGCCATCACCCCATCACGCCATCACGCCATCACAGCATCACAGCATCACACCATCACGCCATCACGCCATCACGCCATCACACCATCACACCATCACACCATCACCCCATCACGCCATCACGCCATCACGCCATCACAGCATCACAGCATCACGCCATCACGCCATCACGCCATCACACCATCACGCCATCACACCATCACGCCATCACGCCATCACGCCATCACACCATCACGCCATCACGCCATCACACCATCACGCCATCACAGCATCACAGCATCACACCATCACGCCATCACACCATCACAGCATCACACCATCACGCCATCACACCATCACACCATCACACCATCACACCATCACACCATCACACCACCACACCTTCACACCATCACACCATCACGCCATCACACCATCACGCCATCACGCCATCACGCCATCACGATCGGTCAGTCGCCAAAAACCCGCAGAGGAGCAACAACACTCACGGCCTGGGAGCTCGGAGCCGCCGGTTGCCTGGAGGTGGCGGCGGGGGCGAGCGCGCCGGGCTCGGCGGCGAGCCCGGCGCCCTCCATGGGGTCCTGCTGCGCCGCCCGGCTCGCCCGGTATCTCTCGAACCTGCGGCAAAGACAAATGCCTCGTCGCTGCCGGGATAGAAAGTCACGGCAGACTGCCTGCCGTTCGTGAGTTATCAACTGACAGAGACGAAAGATCCCCCCCCACCCCCACCCCGCGCCCTCCCCACCAGACTGTTGGGGCGAGTGCCGCTGGCGAGCAGCACCTACGAAGGCCGGCACGGCACACGACGGGGTGGGTGGTCAGCACCACGCCCGGCCACCTCTGTGTCTCAAGGGGCGATGTGTTTACACGCCTGGTACTCACGTGTTGAGGCCGAGTCACCCTAGGGGAAGGCCCAGGACTGGTTCACATCATCGTCACTGTTGTTGGCCGTGAGCGGGAATCAAAACCCGTATCAAACGGCTCGCAGCGCAGCGCGCTGCTACGCAACCGCTCCTCACCTACCGAGGCCACCGTGGCACAAGCGCGCTTGACGAGGTCAACGTCGCACGCGGTTTTCATTGCATCAAACAAAGGGTTCACTTATGGCAATGGACTACACCAAGTGCTCATTTTAATGACGGCTATAGGTAGGAAATTTAATTCAAACTGGGTAAAAATGTGCACGCTACTATTGAGGTGTGCGAGCCAAACTACACGAAACTTTCTCCTGAAGCTCCCTCGTGGCTAGCAGACCCCGGCGTTGGCATTCAGCTCCTGAACCACATTGCTGCCATGCGAAAGAATAGAATGTGCATGTATGGCAAGTCCTCAATGAACTCATGTTCACACAACACGCTTTCACGATAACACGGTTCCTTCCATTAGGGAATACACAACGTGGGATGTACCCGTTATAACGCTGAACGTTCACCGTTATAACGCTGAACGCACACCGTTATGACGCTAAACGCACACCGTTATGACGCTAAACGTTCACCGTTATAACGCTGAACGTTCACCGTTATAACGCTGAACGTTCACCGTTATAACGCTGAACGCACACCGTTATAACGCTGAACGCACGCCGTTATAACGCTGAACGCACACCGTTATAACGCTGAACGCGCACCGTTATAACGCTGAACGTTCACCGTTATAACGCTGAAAACGCGCACTGTTATGATACGGTTCCTGAGCGGTCGACGACGAACTACTCTTCCTTGAGCTGCGCGGCTGAGCGGCGTGATACAGTACGCAGAATGATAAAAGTAAGGCAGCGGCGTACCCTCAGGCATTTGTTCCGCCATCTCAGTGCGTGGTGTGCACAGTACATCGTTTCTCGCCAAACTTTATCGTTGCATTATTTATGGGGAAACTGCTTTCGCCTAAAGTGGCACTTTTCAGGAACGCACCGACCGCGCTAAACGAGGACCTAATGTGTCGCGCTTTGTTAAAGCACTTCACCGTTTGTGGTCGGCGCGGGTTAAATGCAGGCACCATAAACGTGAGCGCAATAGTGCAGAAAGGAGTTCAACATGCAGTACAACGGCGGATTTTTCCTCACTGCCTTCGGCTGCCCGCCAAGTAGAGCAGCACCACAAGCGGGCATTTGTTCAAACGAGCCGTCGAGTGCGAACGCAACTATGGGGGGGTTGCAAGGACGGTGGTACGAGCCCGAGGCGTTGCCCCGGTGTGCCCTCTACCGGTCGTATCGGAGGAAGATGTTGAGGAGATCGTCGTTGACCCGCAGGAGTTCGGCCGTCACCTCGTCGCTGGAGACGCGCGGGACCAGCTCGATGACCCTTTGCTGCATGGTGCGGCACGTCTGATGCAGGGCCTGACGAGCACACGGCACGGCGAGGAAACGGGCGAAGATGTTCGCTGAAAATGTTCACAAGCATTTGTGGACACTGCGTTGTGGCTAAGCACACAAAAACACAAATGACAACAACTCGCATTCATCAAGAGCACGGACTTATTGGTCAATACTCTTTGGTTCTATTGGGTAAAGTCACGTAGGTGAAAATAAAATAACAAAAAATCACGACGTTTCGGCCACAACACAAGCGGCCTTCATCAGGTGAAGGGACGAGACTGTCTGGAGGACAGCGCTGGAGTGGGAGAAGCCACGCTTAGATCACGACCTTTAAGCTGTGTGAGAAGAAAAACACCAAGCGCCTTGACAAAGGAATTAGCATATAATTTAGCATTGAAATGGCTCATTGAAATAGCTAAGTTAAAGTATACACATCCACAGAGGTACCCCTTGACAAAGGAATTAGCATAGAATTTAGCATTGAAATAGCTGAGTGATTAGCTTGTAACTGGTCACAGAAATAGCTATGTTAAAGTCAGAGCATATACATTCACCGAGGCACCTAGTACTCATCAAACAGGAGAATTTAGCGAAACACAACCACGCTCAGACAGCGGACCTTTAAACTGTGTGCGAGCAAACAAGGTGTTCTGACAAAGAAATTAGCATAAAAATTAGCATTTGATTGGCGGATTTTAGGAAAGAGGTGGTGTACGTGCCGTTTGGCGCGGGGGGGGGGGGGGGGGGGAGTTTACCTATTGATGGTGTGAAAAGGGAATTTATAAGAGCTGCGAAAGTTTGGGGTACCACTACTTGAAAAATATACTGTACCATTGAAATTAGTTTAATTGTTAGTTCTATTTAGAACATCTTTCCAATGGTTGCTTAATTTGAAACCATCCTCTCGGTTGAAATTGTGCCTGTGTTTGTAGATCTGAATTGCTTCATGAACAAATCTCTGATAAAAACCCGTGGGTTTGCAAAGAACCTTGGTATCGGAGAAAATTATATCATGATCCCCCACAGCGTTGTAACAGAATTATTGGTCAATGTTTCAGACAATCGGCATTTTTTATATGTGCTACGTAGAAGGGCTATTGTAAGGCAGTGTGATTTGCAAAGACCAGTTCACTGCTCTGCATGTTAACGCTCTTTAAGGGCTGGCTCAGCCTTTGCATATTTGGGTTATCTGTCGACAGTAAACTGTTGTTACTTTTACGAAGGAGACCAAAACTCTACTGCGATGTCATTAAATGTAAAACTTGTGCAGAGGAATATTTCTGACCTTGCAATATCTTCCCTTAAAAAAAAAAATCTCCTTATCTAAGGATTTGCAATGATATCATTATACTGGTAGGAACCTCCTGGTTACACCACCGGCCCACAGGGGATTGTGTCGTGCATCCAAAAATGGGAGGGGTGGGGCTGAGTGGAGAGGGGAGGGTGGGGAGGGGAGGGAGGGGTGGGGCTGGGTGGGGAGGGGCTGGGTGGGGAGGGGCTGGGTGGGGAGGGTGGGGCTGGGTGGGGGGTGGGAGGGGTGGGGCTGGGTGGGGAGGGGCTGGTCACCCCGTGGTGCCCTTATAAAACTCAACGTTTAACCTACTCACGCCGGCTTGTGCCCGCCCTCAGTCGGGCATATTTGCGGAATGCACCACGTGGTGCCGCCGTTGACCCTGGCCATTGACCGAGCAACCCAACGTTCCGACCAGCTCCTCCCTCCGCAGGAATGTGTTTTACTTACCTTTTTTGAAAGGAATAAATTAACATGCTCCAAATTAAATGATCTCAACACATTAACATTCACCAGTTGAGTGACTGTGCATTTTATTATTCAATTCTATTTCAGATTTATACATCATCCTTTAATATTCGACTATTATCACATGTGAATGTGATAATAGTGGAATATTCTAGGATATCACTTTTTATTTTTGCCGATTTACTATTATCTGGTATGCTTCAACTTTAAAAAAAAAACTACAAATACAAGTGGCCATTATTTTTGTCGAGACACGAAGATAACAATGTCTTGGTGGCCTCCCAACACCAAATATGATGTTTTGTTGACACCGAGAAGGAGAATCGCTTTCTTTAATGAAATCTGGGAGTGAGAGGGCACCAAAACGTCTTCCAAATTTTCACAACATTACTCGGGCCCGAATGATTTCAGCGACCAAGGCAAGGCATCTGGAATTCTAAAATGAAACCTTCGGACAGCTTTACTATGGATCACTGATCCAGTTACTGCACTCTGCCGCTGAATACCTCAGAAAGGCAATCCACACCACTACAATCTTCCACGGGACTTGCTGCTATCTGTATACCTTCAAGCAGAAAGCCAGAGTATCACAAAACACGGGTTCTTAAGGGATCTGTAATGCATTTAAAATGAACTAATAAGTAAAGATTGATGGTTTGCATTTATTCCAGCTCAACATTGACAGCTAAAATAGTTTTATATTAATATAAATGTATTTTCTATGCCGCATTAGTAGCTTGACGCATATTTTATTACATTACAATGTTGTGATGTGCACTTATTCATTGGGCTAACTCAACCTTTACACGTCAATTGGAAAGGTAGGCTCCTCATTATTAGTATTTATTTTTTACCAGCTAAGTCCCACTGAGCTATATAGCTCTGTTGCAGAAGCGACCTGACCACAAATGATAGCTCAACGAAGTGGAGAAAAATTCACAACCACAGGGGGAGAGAGACATGCAAATTCAAAATATACACGCGTCAGGGTCGGGATCAAACCCACGACCGCCTGTATACCAGGTGAGGTAGTCAACAGCTCACCACTGCGGCGCCCTCATGCCTTCAACTGCACACATTAGTCTGAACAGCAGGGAACGGCAATGCTCCGAGCGATCGGCACCTGCAGCAGCTGCAGGTCCGAAGCCTCCACCTGCCCTGGCACCAGCTCCGTCAGCATCTGGGACATCACCTTGACGTTACACTCGACAATGTCCAGCTCGCTCCGCAGCTTTGCAACCTGGAACACAACAGGGCAGCAGTGTGTCTGGGAGAACCACGTCCGCACACAAAACCAGGAACCGTTTACAAAGCTCAAGTGCAGTCCCAAGCTGGGAAAAGTTGTTACGTCTTTCCAGGGTGATGGTGCAGGTACTGTGCTCTTGAGCAAAATGTTCTATTTTAAAGCAACCGCATGTGGGCAATTTGAACTTCTTTCGCAGCGTACGTAGCCAACCACGCTTAAATCGGAGGTTCTGGGCAGGGACAACAATTAATTGAATCGTGACGGGAAAGAATCATCGCACGTCTTGACAAAAAAAAAAAAGAGACAAACTGAGCACGGAGAACGAGGTGGGAACAGCAAGACGCAGACAAGCCGTGTGATGCCGTTGCCTCCGTGTGCCGACCTGTTCCGGAGTGGGAGAGATGGGTCCAGCGGCCACGGACGCCGCGTGGGCGTGAGCGGGGGGCAGTGGGTGCGGGGGCGCAGAAGCCGACATTGCCGCGGCGCCCGGGGCAGGCCGCCCCCCCTGGGAAGAGTTCCTCACTGCAGGGTCCGCCTCCGGCGTGCTCTGCAGCGTCGGCACACAGACGGCACGGGGACGCCAGGCGGCACGGTTGAAACACTTTCCCCGTTCCGAGATGGCTGCAAGTTACTCAATGGGTTTTTTTGGTTAAAGTCACCCGTGTAGAAATACAATAAAATTATATATAAAAAAAATAACTTGACTTCACCAAAAAAAACAATGAGTAATTTTATGCAGTCACGAAAGCTTTTAATGCTTTATTATGACTGCGAGTTGCTAGGCAGGGCCCGTTCACCACCGAATCTCGGAACGCACAAGCAGTTCAGCGTTCATTTGATTGAAGAGCCATAGCACCATTGCACTCACCGCAGAGAACCGCAGAGACAAGACCGCACTCTATGATAGCTGGTGCCAAACTGTGGCAGACGCCCTCCCGCATGGCCTTGTGGGAGCCTCAGAACGGATAACATTATTTTATTTTATTTTTTATTCCGGTTCCAGAATGGGAAAGGGTTAATACGCTTGTCACAATATTCTGCCTCGGCCATTCTATTGATAGTGACGATTCAGGGTCACCATTCATATTTTTTTCCTCAAATTTTTACCACCTTTGATTTGTAGACAGAATTTTCCATAAATGCTGCATTAGCATAACAATCACGTTTCAATTCACCCACAGTGCCGCTGAGCCGGTTTTCAAAGTGCGCCGGTGACATGAGGCGCAGGCCTGGAATGTGCCCTGAGATCATCAGAGCAACAAAACGTTTGCCACTGTGACATCACTCACCACTCACCCACTCGGCTCGGTTAAGTTTGTGGACTACACGGTTAAACACACACAAAAAAGCTACTAAATTCAAAACAGCATCAATAATATTGGCAAGGTAAAGGTACGGCCCTGAAATGACTCGCTCGCGCGACTGTTGGCGGAAGGGCCGGAACTAGAAGGAGTTCGAGAGGGCATTTGGCCCACTTTCCTAGCATGGGCAGACATCTTGGGAAGTGGTGGTAATACTCAACACCTTAGCCCACTGCACGCAACCTGCTGATCGACTAATTGTGTTGTGGCCGAAACGTCGTGAGAATTTTATTTTATGTTTTATTATTTTATTATTATTCCCCTTCTACGTGACTTTACCGAAAGAACCAAGAAGATGTGGTGTACCCGTTTATGCTGCTGAGTGGGCAGAGGTAGGGCGATTTCAGAATCTCGCCCATTGTTTCTACTGCCGTGCCAGGAGACTGAACCAGCGACCTCTGGATCGGTCACTGCATCGCGCGCTTTCAGATGTGCTTCTGACGGCCGTTTAGAACGCTCTTCCTTCCGATATTAGGAAGACACCGGCGCAATGCACTTTTAAATTATCTAGCTCATTTATTTAGAAGTAATTGCTGTGTTTAGTTTGGTGTCCTTTCCCCACACCATATGTGGTCAGTGTGGGTTGAATGTAGGGAACAAATGTGAGAGCATAGTCCAGTACCTCCGGTTAGCGCGGCTGGCTACGTACGGTTCTAAAGAAGTTCAAACATACAAGTACAATGAATTACACCACGACAGGAACCCCATGTACGCTATTACAGTCATACGAGTTGTTGCCAAACATCACGTCCCAACCACAGCTCCCCTCCCCTCGCCTAGATTCCTGCCAGTGAAGATTTGCTCCCGCAGGGTCGGACATGAGGTCACGGGGAGAGAGCGAGAGAGAGGGCGAGAATGGAGAGAGTGAGGGGCGGAGGGAGCAGAATGGGACAGTGAGGACACAGGGGTTCATGTAGATGCAATTTAATCCAAGCTGGAATAGCTTCAATAGGATTCAGACATCGGCATGGCTTTGACCTAAATATTTTAGCCGCAGAAAGAACACAGGTCCCTTAAGATGCGTGTGCTCACGGCATTGCCTAAAACTCGGTTGCCTAAAACTAAGTGCCGAAACAAAAACAGTGGCCCTATAATTAAATACGTTAATATAATTAAATACGTTAATATAATTAAATGCGTTAATATAATTAAGTTAATATAATTAAATACATTACTATAATTAAATACGTTAATGCAATTCAAAACGTTAATACAATTCAATACTTTAATACAATTCAATACGTTAATATAATTCAATACGCTTGTGTTGCAGTCGAAACGTCGTGAGAATTTTATTGTTTTAGATTTTTATTATTTTATTGTTTCCCTTCTACGTGACTTTACCGAAAGAACCAAGAATATATAATTCAAAACGTTAATATAATTCAATACGTTAATATAATTCAATACGTTAATATAATTCAATACGTTAATATAATTCAATACGTTAATATAATTCAATACGTTAATATCAAGGGCCACAAGATGCCTGCAGGAGATAGAACGGACACGTTCGATATCAATCCATAGTTTGAGTTCTCCACTGTAGGTGTGGGTTCTCACCAATGCAGTTGTGACCTACCTACAATGTGGTGCAAAAGTTATTTTACCACAATAAAGTGCAACTCATTATTTTACTTATTATCTTGGTAAATTAACTCTAGTGTATCCTATGCATGCACACATATCCCGGTGAAAACCGTCCTGAAAATGAGTCTTGAGAATTCAGAAAGGCTTCCCCAGGAAGAGAATTAAATTGCATAATCGGTGGTCACCATGCTTAAGCACAAGCGAAGTAACCTGGTGGAGTTGCTAATGGCGCCACGGTGGTAAGATGTTAACTACCTCGCCTGGTATACACAGAGGTCGTGCGTTCGATCCCGACATTGACGCCTGTTGTATATTTGGAGTTTGTATTCGTCTCTCCCCGTGGTCGCGTGAGATTTTTCTCCGGGCCCTCCAGTTTTTCCCTCCACGTTTAAAAACATGCGTTCTAGAGTATTTAGCTGCTATAAATGTCCACATAAGCCACTTCGTTGAGCTATCATTTGTGACCAGTTCGCTGCATAAAAAGAGCTTCATAGCTCAGTGGGCCTTACCTAGGCAAAATAGAAATAGTAGTAGTAGGGATGAAGACAGTCCACAAGCAGAGTGAGGCAATAAGGAAGTGAGCATCAGGGTGGCAGTGGTCACACTTGAGCCTCAGAGTAGCAAGGTTCAGGCATCGACTATCCAATCTGGTGTTTTATTTCTGTGTGCAGTTTGCATGTTCTCTCTCCCTGCACGGCTTACCTTCGCGTTCTCCAGTTTCCTCCCAGAGTTAAAGACAAGCCATACATTGCAACTGGTATTGGCCAAAATATCCCAGTGGTGGAAACGGACACTGCAAATTGCTCAATTGGGATCACACACGGCAACCTCGACCCCCCCCCCTCCACCCCCTCTGCAAAAACTTGGCAGGACCCTGCTGAAAATTTGCCTGAAGACTCAGTGAGGCTTTTTGGGTAAACATGCATAATACTTCGATTTAAAGCTTTCGTGACTGCAAGGATTCATCTTCTTTGGTTCTTTCGGTAAAGTCACGTAGAATGAGAATAAAATAATAAATTGATAAAATAAAATAACACAATAATATTCTCACGACGTTTCGGCCACAACACAAGCGGCCTTCATCAGGTAAAGGGACGAGACTGTCTGGAGGACAGCGCTGGAGTGAAAAAGCCACGCTCAGATCACGACCTTTAAGCTGTGTGAGAAGAAACAAAGCGCCTTGACAAAGGAATTAGCATATAATTTAGCACTGAAATGGCTGAGTGATTAGCTTGTGACTGGTCACAGAAATGGCTATGTTAAAGGTAAAGCATACACATCCGCAAAGTCACCCCTTGACAAAGGAATTAGCATAGAATTTAGCATTGAAATAGCTAAGTTAAAGTATACACATCCTCAGAGGCACCCCTTGACAAAGGAATTAGCATAGAATTTAGCATTGAAATAGCTGAGTGATTAGCTTGTAACTGGTCACAGAAATAGCTATGTTAAAGTCAAGGCGCTTTGTTTATTCTCACAGAGCTTAAAGGTCGTGATCTGAGCGTGGCTTTTTCACTCCAGCGCTGTCCTCCAGACAGTCTCGTCCCTTCACCTGATGAAGGCCGATTGTGTTGTGGCCGAAACGTCGTGAGAATATTATTGTGTTATTTTATCAATTTATTATTTTATTCTCATTCTACGTGACTTTACCGAAATAACCAAAGAAGATGCATAATACTAATAAAAGTTGGAGTGCTTTTGAAAGACTTAGCAATGAAACACTGTATGGAAAAAATATATACATTCGATAGTTGCAGGCCGTTCGATTGCAGAGTATTCACCTTCACTCAGACTCGCTCACGTGTCTGAGCTCATGGTCAAGTTTACAAACTCTGACCCTATCTGCCCTGATAGCGGTTGCGAGAACATTTCACGACATCCACTCCACCAGCTTGCGCCCTCGCCCGAGTCAAAGGTCAGTGCATTGTTTACTCTCAGACTGCGGCGTTTCGCTATCGTGCGTCAAAGGGGGCTTACAATGTACACCGGCGCAATGAGCAAAAAAAAAGGTGGTGTCTGATCAAATCTATACAAATGTATTTTGTATTTAATATTTCCTTTAGCAGTAGCTTTTTCTTCATGTTTGCGGAATTTTTGTTTCATATACAGGACTGAATTGTTGTGCTGTGCAGTTTTCCTATCTGTTATTGTTAGGTCATCTTTGCGAGACACTTTGATCACAATGATACGGGTGAAAAAAATGCTTCTTTAGTTTAAGCTTATACGTGAGATTTTCTACAATAGATGAATCAAACATATATTGCATATGAATGCCATCAATAGTTTACAAGAGTAACTTGAAGCACAAGATTTCCCTTAAAATTTACCTATAGTAATGATGCCGATTAATCAGACGTGTTCATCGGTCCAAGTACATTACCTAAACCATTTCCATGACCCGCTTACGCATATATATAAAAAAATATATATATAAACACTAACCTTTCGGCAATGCAAACTGAAAGGTGGAACATTATGACCACGTGCTTCCAAGAAAGTCTAGCTATTAATAAATGTTTTTTTTTCAAGATAAATAGGTTATGTATAAAGTTCTCCCTGGAAGTCAAAAAAAAAGGGACTGCCCGCCGACCGATAAGCCGTTCCCTGCCGCCGTTCATGTCTGGACGATACCGAAGGCCTGCTGGTCAGCAGCTCGACATGCAGAACACGCATGGCAGCCGCACGCTCACGCGCTTCTTATCGGCCGTTCAAGCACATGCGCACTTTAACAGATTCCCCCACAGCCTCGCATCCGCCACGACCAATGCTCGTGAAACCAGCGGCATTGCTATCGAGCGGGCGGGCGCTGCAACTGCACCGGGGGGCCCCATGGTACAAAGGGGACCCCCCCCCCCCCTTTAATTCCTGGCACCGACGGCTGACCGATACCAGCCAAGGCTGTGCCCACTGTCATTACGACTCTCAAACAGCTGAAAAACAAATTGCATTGCCGACCCGCATCGTCAAATGATGCACACAGTGTGCCTATAGCAGCAAGGCAACGGCAAATTCCATCTCCTCCAATGCCAGAGCTGAGAAGAGTTGTCTGGATCTGCCGAAGGGGAGTTTGGCACTTAGAAATGGCATTTCGGCAAATCGTACCGCAACGTTAACTCTGCAACAATAAAAGGTGGCAAACGTCAACATTTTTTTTGATCTCTCGCACTACCTTGTAATCCTGCGCACTTGCAATTTTCAGCCAAATAAAGTATTTGGCCAAATCATAGCAAAGAACAGCGTCGTATGATTACTGTGCAAGGTAGCCACTTGCATTATAAGAGACGAGGCCCATTTGGGGTACAATTAGAAGGGAAATGTCAACAGTAACAATGTGTGTAAACCATTAAAAGAGCTGTGTGGTGGTCACGGACCCGCTGTGGAGTATGGATAGGGGAGAGCGCGTCAAGGTCGGTCATGGGAAACTCCACGCCCTTCCTCTTGAGGTCCTCGTACACGTGGACCACTCCGGTCAGGTCCGGAGCACTCCGGAACGCATCCGCCCATGTCTGAAAAACGAATAACGACAACGACGACGACGACGATTTTAATTCGCATCGAAACGTAATCGCATCTCGGGATGCGTTCCTAAAAATAAAACATCGACGGTCGGTAGAATGGGGCGGTGGAGGTGGTTAGAGCAGAGAAACAAGGTGGGGGGAGAGAGAGGAGAGAGTGCAACTCTCCGGCACCAATAAAAACACAAATAACAACAAAACAACGACTACAAATTATACAACAACCGCCATTCCCCACGAAGTGGCTAAGTGCCCCTCTAAGGCCACGTGAAGTGTCGAACGTCCACTTTCCGGAAGGGGGTCATGGGACAGATCCAGGTGCCTTGGGTTGACCGACTGAGATGCCTGGCAGATGCGCCAGCGGTGCCCTCTGCTACTGTGTCAAATATACAACCATATGGCAGCACCAACGAGTTCCCCGGGGGCGAACAATGGGTCCCGTCGTCAACGAGTCAGAGGGCAGCCCCCGTGATGGACAAAGATAAACAGTTCTTATTTGACCTCGTGTATTAGTGGTAAGTATTGTTCGAGAGCAATTAATGAAGAGATGGAGCAGACAGTGTGACACTCCCCACTGTCGATGCGGAGAGATTTGAGGCAATGTCAATCAGATGAGGCGCAGACCAGGCTCTGATCCCATCTGCCAATGCCAGATAACAGGCCCCAGTTGCGGTGATCGTAATAGATTGTAACAAATATTACGTAATGTTTGTGCTATCGGCGATGATCATGAGCGACATAAATAGATAAAAAACCATCTCCCTATGCACACACAAAAAAAATTCTGTATGCTTACTCCGAATCATTCTCGACAGTTTTGTTGTATTTTTATAACGCAGTTTTATTGGACTTGCCTTGTTGTCCGTTTATTCTCTTTCAAATGTTTGACGATTAATATCTTCGGAAAGCCTAACAAGCTGAAATGTTCTACACACTCGCCTCGTGCGACAATTCAAGATTTCATTTGAAAAAAATCTAACCCCCGCCCATTTTTGAAATCACGAATGGTCGTGCCCAGCTACGAGGGCAAACGTCTAGTCCAATCAGAGCTGCTGTTGCTGGGCAGCCCATGACCAATGAAAACGCGGGCTTATATCGCTGCTTGTCATGGCGCCGGAACAGCCGCTGTGGTTCCCTCGCCCCTTAGCGCAAGACCAACAAGTACAATATTAATAATAATTACTACTCTTGCTATTCTTAACAGAATACTTAGAAATAGCATTATTTGATTTTGCAATGTCCGTTATGATGCGCCGGGGGCGGCATGGTTATGCTGAAATTGCACGAGCAGGCGAGAACCGTGATCGTGATTTCCATTTGAATATCATCATGTTATCGCCATTGCAATTGACAACATTTTCTAATTACACTAACAATTTTTTTTGTTCCTGGGTAGTAAGTGTTATTTCCTAATTGCTTATGCCTCAAAAGTACAGAAAATGGGCTATTATTCCCCACAAACTTTGCTTTTGTGACCAGGACAGCGATATTTTGAAATTTACCCATTTTCAATGAGACAACGGGCGAATTTGTGTCCTTTCGTTCACATGAAGTCAGAAAAAAACAACATATGAATCAAAATGACCATGTATTTATACTAAAGTAATAAAAAAATTACAATAGATTTAGAAGCGCCCTGTACAATGTACGTGCCACTACAGAATGGCAGCATCCCAAAGTATGCTATTATAGTCATACGAGTTATCGCTAAGTCCAGGTGCTCTGTGGCCTACCAAATCGTTTTAATTAATTACCTTAAATAAATACGTAAAATAAGCTGCTAAATACATGAAAATTATCAAAACAAATAAGTAATTATAATAAACATGTCAATAAACATTAAAGTATTAAATAATAGTTTATAAATGAACTTGCCTGAAATAATGATGAAGCTACGGATCATCACTTTATCTCATCACTTTCTTGCATGACCTCTCGCATCACTTTATCTCTCATCACTTTATCTCTCATCACTGTATCTCTCATCACCTTCTCTCTCATCACCTTCTCTCTCATCACCTTCTCTCTCATCACCTTCTCTCTCATCACCTCCTCTCTCATCACCTTCTCTCTCATCACCTTCTCTCTCATCACCTTCTCTCTCATCACCTTCTCTCTCATCACCTTCTCTCTCATCACCTTCTCTCTCATCACCTCCTCTCTCATCACCTTCTCTCTCATCACCTCCTCTCTCATCACCTTCTCTCTCATCACCTTCTCTCTCATCACTTTGTCTCGCTCTCTTCCCGCAGTCGTGTAGAGCTCCAGATGCGATTTGCGCATCGCCAAAAATCGCGCAAGTTCGTGTGAATAACGAGAGAATACCGTAACGTGCAACGCGACCCGAGTGTGCGAACGCACGTACGTACGTACGTGTTTTAACTTCTTTCGCACCGTACGTAGCCAACCGCGCTAATCAGAGGTGTGGGTGAACACACTGACCTGCACCAGGCTGAGCACCTTCTCCTGCACGATGGTGGGGGGGTTGTTCTTGGGCTGGATGATCCGCACCAGGACCCCGTCCACAAAGTCCTGGCTGGCGATGAGCACGTGAAAGCGGTGGCCGCAGTTTTTCACACACGTCTCCAGCACCTGGCCCAGGATGGACAGGTGACCATAATGGGATAAGCCTTTTCACGTCAGATGCATCTGCACTGCAGTGTTAATAATAATAATAATTTACGTTTATTTGAAAGGAGCCTTCCACTAACGTCTCAAGGCACCTGTTCGTTAGATTTTAGCACGGACTAGGGAGTAATGGATTTCGCAGTATACGGCGAGACGACGGCAGAGATGGAGCGATAAAATCAACTCATGTGTGCAGGAGCGAGACGGGTTGGCACTACGCAGGGCTGCGAGTGGTGGCTACGGCTCGGGAAGTGGATTGAGCATTCCCGACGATGAACGCTCCTGCATAGGTGACGGGAGTTTGAAAGACTCTTCTGCCCTGCATCCACGGCCGCGACAGATGGCGCCACAGCGCCTCACCCTGGCAGGTGAATGAAACATCCGTCGACGCTAAGAAGGTGGGACATGACACACGGCATGCGGCGTGCGCGGCAGTAGGAGCAGGGCGCGTACCGTCAGCGCCAACATGACCTCCTTAAAATTCTTGTTTCCACCGATGCGCTTCTTCAAGGCCTTCAAGGCATCTTTAGGCCTGAGGACAGAAACGTCAAACAGAGATATTTCACAACGAAGCAGGGTCTTGGCGACTTTAATGCTTGTTGTGCCTGGACAATGATCCAGTTCACCCAATCGCCTCCAATTCCGTCTCTAGATTTTGTATTTTTAACAAAGTACAGCGGAAGCTGGATACGCAAGCACCACTCCCTTGGGAGCCAGGCCAGCTGTGCTTACATTCGTAGCATGCTCAGATGAAAAAGTTTCCCTTTGAATTCCACACCACCAATGTAATCATCAAGAAATTGTTACTTATATGAGGACAATGCTTATACAAGGCACGCTTGTATCCAGCTGCTACTGATTAACCCATTTGTGCTATCGTTGTGACGTTTATACGAGTCTGAAAAACACAACAAAATAAAAACTGTATAGTAATAATAGTAATAAGGTACATGACAGTATAATGGTGGTCGAGTTAAAATCTGATTGCAATCTGCTCCCTTGGCAGGACTCACCCTTCATCCGTCTCGTTGATGATGTCGCAGATCTCGATGTTGAGGTTCCAGTCTTCGGACGGCAAGGAGCCATCTGTGGCCTTCTCTGCAGAGCCACACGAAACAAAGCAACAGAGCACAGCTGCATATTTGACAACAAAAACCACTGATTGTATGTAGAAGTCTTTCGCGCCGCACGTAGCCAACCGTGCTCATCGAAGCTGCAGAGGAAGGACAACAAACGAAACACAAAAAGCTGTTCTAAAGAAATTAGTTTCCAATCTCGATTTAAAAGTGCATCGCTCCAGTGGCTCCCTAACATCGGAAGGAAGAGCGTTCTAGATGGCCGCAGAAATGAATCTGAAAGGTCCTTGTTCAACTGCGGGCCAAAAGCCGCTGCGAAGATGAAAGGGATGCAATGCAACCGTAACTACATCAAAACCGGCCCACTTTTAAACTTGTGAAATGATGGACGTTACACGCAGTCGGCCTGTAATCAAATCACCCAGAATGCCCCCCCCCCCCCACCCACCCTCCCAATCTCATAACATCTCAAAAGCTAAGTCGGCATCGAGCAGGGACGGTGCTTTGATAGGCAACCATCATGCATGACAGGTGTTATAGGCTACCGTGCTACGTTGTGGGCAACTGAGAGCAGGCCAGCAAAATGCATTGCAATGTTCTTCAATGCTCCCATATCTATGTTCCCCACCTTCACCAACTTGCATCGATCAGCATGGTGAAGTATGGTCAAATATCCCCCACGTCCTGCACAGTATGGGGAGGCCCTCATCCAGCTGTAGACTGACACATGGCCACACATGTACTTGTTGTTACCGGTTGTAATTTGACTGGATGCATAATGTGGCATGTCAGAGCCTTTTCTCATTGTTGATAACCAGACAGGATCCTAACTGGTGACGTGAAGTGTTCGGTTAAGGTTCTGAAGTGGCAATAACCTGGCAGAGCTACCAGCTGCCTCTGAACGGCCGGCCCACACCAGAGCGATTCAGTTTCATGCAAATGAGTTGCAACTTAGTTGCATGGAACTTAGCTCCATGCAACTTAGTTGCTTGCAACCAAACCGCTTGTGTGGACGTCTATGCCACCAGATGCACAACCGGATGCTTGCAGTAGAGGACAGGGGACTTCCAAGCGATCTGCCCAATCGCGTTTGTTGTGCGACTGGCCGCACAAGTGTGGACCCCGGGACAAAGAAAAATCCGTATCAACGAGTACAGCTCGGGCGACATCTCTCACGTCTCGCCTGTTTTTACAAAAGCCCTATAAGTAGCAATGGCAATGCGTTACTTGCACCGTCATCGCCATCACTTTGCACTGTTTATCGCGTTGAGCCGACGACCGTAACAAGCACCCTACCAAAATACCACGGCGACGGGAACAAATATATTCGATGGCTTTATTCAAACAAGCGCAATTCTGTGAGTGAGCATGGACAATGTGCTGTGTACTACGTTACCATCCATTGCAGTCAGTTGCAGGCCATTCGGGTTAAGCATCGACATGGTTGGATATAAATTATGCATTATCCTTTTCAGTTATGGTCTTTAGCGAGGGTAATGTGACCATCGCTGTAGCTGGATATGTACAGGTGGGTTCAATTTCCCGTGTGAATGATGTGTTGAGTGCATCGGTATGCACGCACTACGAATGCATTTTTTAAAATCATCCTGTCAATTGTGGTAGAAAACATTCCGCCCAACGGTGTCGTCCATACGACTGTCATCTCTTCTGGCGACGTGTTCTGCCCAAGCCCACGTGCATTTCTGAACAGTCGCGGTGCTGCGACGGCACAATCTGTCTCACCGTTCTGTGTCCGGTGTGTTCCCTCCTTCGGCTGCCATGCCTTCACCCGTCTCGGCCGTCTGCTATCGTCGCATTCAAGCGACGTTTGCTGCCCATTCATTTTTCCCCAAAAAGTCAAACAAGATGCGAAAATACGCAAAAAAGCAGACGGCCACTGCGCGTCTGCAAAAAGCCACCAATCATTTCCCGAAGAAGTGCATTGTGGGCCCCTTTGTCTAAAGTTCCACATCAAAATTAATTTGAGCTGTGACCCACTGACAGCAACACTGATGCAGTGACAAACAACGGCGGAACAGTTTCATGCAATTCTAGATTTGAGGCTTTCATGCAAATTCGGACTCCTCAGTATAGTAGTCGCCAATGCCGAGTTAATGATGTTGAATTTGCATTTACTCTTTGATGCACATGTTCCTATTTCTGTTTCTCTGTGCTAATCCCACAATGCATCTCTCTTCATGCTTCTGTTTATACTTTTCAGCTTTTGTTCCGGATTCTGCATCATATGTTCATGATTATACGATTCAAATACAATGGCAGGTAATAATCAATGATTGAAAAAAAATATTCTGTAGTACACACGTCATCATTTTGATCCTGATCCACTCCAAATGCACAGTCTTATATTCATTCGGTACTTTACAATCTTCATGAACAGATGACAATAACTTCCAACTTGTAACATGCACAGCATTCACTCGCTCACAAAGAGAATGACTCAGGGGCGCGAGGAACCAGCGAAAAGCCATGTGGTGAGCCGGCAATTGTTGAGGTTCTACAGTCCTCTATATATTTAGGTGTCCAGCCAACCAATGAGAGTTTACATTCGAGAGGAAATCAGAGCACCCGGAGAAATCCAACCGTGTGCGAAGGGGGCAACACTATCCCCATATAGATAGGACAGATGGAGATTCGTCCACACTTGGCTGCATCCCCTTCTCCTGGCAGACAAGGGCACGGCTCCTCAATGCCCAAGGGAAGGGAGTTTCACTTTGTGCGATCCATCAACCGGCGCCTCCGTGGTGCTGGATTAAGGGGCGTGTGTGCGCCACCACCGCCCGATTCAGAATGTGACTGTGGAATTCTACGATTGAGATATTTCACGTCGATCATAAAAGCAATCCAATTTGATTTCATATAGCGTCTTTCATACTAAAATCATCACACAGCGCTTCACGCGTAAACATATTACATCGCATCGTTAACATTTGGGAAGCACAAACAAGTAAAAAGTATAGACGGTTCAAAATATGAGATTATCAAACACATAAATTTTTATTTAAAGCTTTCGTGACTGCAGTAATTCATATTCTTAGCTCTTTCGGTAAAGTCACATTGAAGGGAAACAATAAAATAATATATTATATATTATATTTTATTGTTTCCCTTCGGTAAAGTTACATTGAAGGGAAACAATAAAATAATATATATTATATATATTATATTTTATTGTTTCCCTTCAATGTGACTTTACCGAAAGAGCTAAGAATATCAAACACATAATTAGCCATTTTTGTCGGTCCACAAATGTCCGTTAATTTTTAAACGGCAGATGGGTCCCTACTTCGATGATTTGTAAAGTTTTTCCATCTGCTCTGGGCAGTGGTTTCCACTTCCGGTTTAGTGCTTTCATGTTCCCACTGCTGGTTATGGCATCTTCAACCATATTTGTGTTGTGTTCTCCAATTCATTTCCTCATTGTGGTCGCCACGGTGGCTGGGGGATGTGAACTCCCTCGCCTGGTCTACAGGAGGTCGTGGGTTCGACTCCGACCCCAAATGCCTGCTGTATATTTGGAGTTTGCGTTTCTCTCTCTCTCTCTCATCATCACGGTGGCTATGAGATGTTAACTACCTCGCCTGGTGTACAGGAGGTCGTGGGTTCGATACCGAACCCTGACGCATGCTGCTGTATATTTGGAGTTTGCGTATATCTCTCTCTCTCTCCCTGTCATCGTGTGGATTTGTCTCCGGGTCCTCTGGTTCCCTCCCACATTTTTTAAAATGAATAATTACTTACAATTAACAAAATTATAATTCGACATAGCTACATTGCCCCCTACTAAGAAAATACTGATAAATTCAAACGATGTCTTTGAAACATACATCCTTCGTGATAACCTTGTACTCTAAAAAAAAATTGCACCAATACCAAAATGCATTATACAGTCATATTATGAATACTTCGACTAATTATCTGTATGCAACCAGCTGAACACATGACAGCCTGTAGCACTGAAATTAAGAGCTTGTCTTGTTGGTAGATGTCAATAACGGAAATGAAAAAAACATTGGAATTAAAGGATATACATGACCGTGGCTTTGAGTGACCACAGAGGAAGTGTCATACTTCCTGGAGATGTCACAACAGCAACATAATAAAAAGCTGGCGATGTCAAGCCCCTAGGGCTTCAAGAAACAGACAACACTCACTCGTGTCTGCACGATCGACACGAGGCATGTCAAACCAATGGACTCATCGATAAAAATCCATCCTTAGGTTCCAGATAGAGAAATGAAAGCATGCACGAGAATCGGATTATTTACTGCGAATTATATGCCACGATATTCACAATCTGCATCGAGCACAAAAACATCAGTTGCTAAAACGCATACCCATTTGATGCATGCATTGTGATACCAAATTAACTTTCAGCACTATTATCATCACGCTATAATTATTACCAGTATCAACAGCAACAAAATTACATCATTATCGTCACATTTGTCAATCAGCCTAGTTAATTAACCATAGCATCCAGTAGTCCTGCCAGTAATCGCTTTCCACGTACAGGCAGTCCTCTACTTACGATGGAGATGCGTTACAACGACCCCATCGTAAGTCAAAAATATCCTAAGTCGAAGATGGCCTAGCCTACCCAGGAGTCTTAAAGAATGGTGATAAGTTAGCAAAACAGAGCAATTTACAGTACCGTACTGTATAAACTATATACTGTATGTATTTATTAATTACAATACTGTATTGCACAGTAAAATGTAAAGTAAAAAAAACAAGGTAAATTCTTCGCCTACCTATATGAACTGCAATTTAATAGAAAGTTTTTTTCAGGAAACAATCCTATCTGCTATAATAAAAAAAACTTTTAACATGCATTGAACGTATGTATCGTATCGTGGTAACCCTAAAATGAATTCGCTAAAGCTATGTATCATACATGCATTGAACGTATCATAACGTATCATATTGTACTGTTACTCGCCAAGATCCTGTCCGTCGTCTGCATACTTGAACGATGTTAGGTTGTTGATGGCAATTTAGTCG